AATAGAAAAAGTTGTATTTTAATTATGTGGCTGGATGTTTAAGTCAGTCTCTAAAAGCCATTTGACTTTAGGTTATTTGGTCTGTCGTATATGATTGTAGCTGTATGTGGCTCCTAACTCACTGTGAGGGCTGCTGGGTTGTTACTGCATCTGGTCAATCAAATAGATGGATAAACCTGACCTGTTTATATTAAACTGTACTGTATGCACAATTTCGAAAAATATAACCTGAACCACTCCATACATTGCGGTGACAACCTGCAATGCACCTCTCATTAATTACCACAGAAATTAACCAATACTTCTCTGTCAGACCCCCCCAAAAAAAGATGTATAAACCTATTGTGCTTTATGTATTTGATTTCATTATTTTATGGTGTGTTATGTCCAGTCCATGTTTAAGTATTTCCTTGTACAGGAAAACAAAAATAAATGTCTATGTATGCATATAAAGGGCTTGATGGCAGCTCTTTATGCGTTTATCCATCAGTAATGTTCATACAAACGTGTGAAAAATGAATTTTCCCAATGCTGTCTGTTCATTTTCTCGACTCCGAACTGGGCTACTGTTGCATTTGACTACACTTTTGTCAGACCGTGAACAACAACGCAAGTAGAGTACACTTCTAAGGGTAATTTTTTTTTAAAAACACTACTTCAAAAGTAGCCATTCGTTATATTTTCGCAGTGCCGATCTGCATAGCTGAATTTACCGAGCAGTGAACACATATCTTTCATTAAGAGCAGAAAGGGTACAGAGTTCCTTCCTGTGGGTTAAGGGCGTGTCCATCTTCAGCGCAAAAGAAAGCGACTCGTACGTGATTGGTCGGCATCGTGAATGGCAGCAGCGATCAGCCAATCAGATCGCGTCTCCGCAGAAGTGTCGTTTTTTTCTGCCGGTTCTAGAAAACCAACCACGAGTTGTCGTCGTGTGGGAGAATCCATCTTGAAGAGAGCTCTCCGGTTGTGTGACCAGTAAGCAGGTTTTTCGTACTTCATTAGTCTTGGTTTTTTCATTGTATTGTCACGTAAGTACTCTTGTTGTAATAGTCGTTTTCGTCGTTTTCCTGGTAGACGTAAACGAAATATCTTTAATTAATCGAAAACACAGGCCTACAGTGTCGTCTAGCACGGCCTCTGCATTACGTAACTGCGAATTTGAGTTGCACCGTCCGGTCCTGGGTTATCAGTGTGGTACAGACTGTTACTGCTGCTAATCTTCGGCTCCAACACAAATGTACTTTTGATGTTGCGTGGTTACCGCGAAACGTTACTGTTGCCATTTGCTGCTGCCTGGCAACAAATACGGCCTTCCATGAATGTATGGAACGCGACCGTGCCGGCCAAAATGGTGGGAAATGCATGCATTTGGCTCCATGTAAATGGCGAAGCATGTACGGCATGACGGATTATATAACCTCCGTGATTTTTTTTTAACTTGATTTTTTTCCCCAGCCTAACCCCATTACCTTCCTTTATAGGCATATTAGTGCAAAATGTCCGAGGCAGAGCAGCAGTATATGGAAACATCGGAAAACGGCCACGAAGTCGACGATGATTATAATGGAGCCGACCACACCGAGGGGATCGACGAGAGCGCCGCGAATGACTGCGGAGAGGGCGAAGGGCCCGACGCCGACGGGAATTCGCAAAACGGCGGCACGGAGGGCGGCCAGATCGACGCCAGCAAAGGCGAGGAGGATGCCGGGTGAGTTTTAAACGCCACAATGTGAATCTGTGTGAAACCGACAGTGGTAATAAGCGCCCGTGGTTTGCCATGTTTCTTTGTTCAACCGGCCTTTGTTGGCGCCATATGCAGAGCGGAGGGGGGATGGGCGCTTGTGAAGGGATCAAATCTAACATGTATTGGGCCTATGAGAGAGACTATGGAAAACGAGGAGCCCGCTGTGGTCGCACCGTAGCGATTTTTTAAAAGTATATATTGAATTAATGTTGTAAAGTAGCCCGAAGCATAGCAACTGTAGCCTGCCCCCGTACGCCATTGGGTCAACAGATGTTCTGGAACAGTGTGTACATTTACACCCCCTTCATGCCCAGTGCTACCCCCACCCCACAGCCATATATAAAGTTGGAGTAGTGGTACTGTATGTGATTTTTAAACGTGTCCCTTCTTTTTTTCTGTGCTTTAGGAAAATGTTTGTTGGTGGTCTCAGCTGGGACACGAGCAAGAAGGATCTCAAGGACTACTTCTCTAAATTTGGTGAGGTGACGGACTGCACCATCAAGATGGACCAGCAGACAGGACGATCAAGAGGCTTCGGCTTTATTCTCTTCAAAGATGCAGCCAGCGTAGACAAGGTGAGTGGGGATGCAATTATGCGGGACGATAAGGATATCTAAATATGTTTACAGTATAAATATATGGTTAATATTTTATGTTTTCCCATATTTTTTTTAGGTTCTTGAACAGAAGGAGCACAAACTCGATGGCCGAGTAATCGACCCTAAGAAGGCCATGGCTATGAAGAAGGATCCAGTTAAGAAAATCTTTGTGGGAGGCCTGAACCCTGACACTTCAAAGGAAGTCATCCAGGAGTACTTTGGGACCTTTGGAGAGGTATGATTGTGGTTTTTTCCCCCGTTTATTCAGGAATTGAATGCTTATGATATTATTTTTTTCTAAACGTTTTTTTATCCTCTCGCATAGATCGAGACCATTGAGCTTCCACAAGATCCAAAGACGGAAAAGAGGAGGGGATTTGTATTTATCACATATAAAGACGAGGCTCCTGTCAAGAAGGTTATGGAGAAGAAATACCACAACGTCGGTGGAAGCAAGGTAACAATATATCTCTCATTCTGCATACATTTGTTTGGTGTTATGTACTAAGTTTCATATACATTTTTTTGAAAGTCGTGCCCTACTGTAATGTGATATGCTCTTGTGTGGTGTTCCAGTGTGAAATTAAAATAGCCCAGCCCAAAGAGGTCTACCAGCAGCAGCAGTATGGCGCCCGTGGATATGGAGGACGCGGCAGGGGCCGTGGAGGTAAGCACCTTTTGTGGTCTTTACATGAATACCAGCAATAGTTTAATTTTAAACTATACTTAAATCTGTGCGGAGTAACCGCTTGGGTCCTGTGTGGTGGAGAGTTGTGACAAAGGCCTCACCTGTTGTTTCTAGGCCAGGGCCAGAACTGGAATCAAGGTTACAACAACTACTGGAACCAGGGATACAACCCGAACTATGGCTACGGACAGCAAGGCTACGGATATGGCGGCTATGGCAACTATGACTACTCTGCTGGTTATTACGGCTATGGGGGTGGCTACGATTACAGTAAGCGATAAGTGCCCCCAGGGAAAGAAAAGAATGAGAACTTTATTTTCTTGGTCCTCCTTGTTGTACAGAAGAACTCAGTCCCTTTTTCTCTTGTCCTCCAGACCAGGGCAATACAAGCTATGGGAAAACTCCAAGACGTGGAGGCCACCAGAGTAGCTACAAGCCATACTGATCACACGTAGTGCAGGTATGCATTTTTGCATCATCCGTGGTAGTATGAGAACATAGCTGTAACCATTGGTGCCTTTTTGACCCCAAAGATGTCCATCTACTCTAAATCCATTCAAACATTGTGGTGGGGTTAGGGTAGGCCGTGTTGTGGGGTCTGTGATCATTAAAGATGGATTCATTCCACCTGTCAGCCATCTTAAGATGCATCTCTACAAACACTACTTGATCAATAAGGGTTGAGTTGGTGGTGGTTGAGAACAGGAATAAGGACCGTTTCACCTTTCACTAGGGTGCTAGGTGTGTAATAGCTAGCGGTCGTGCCCCCCTCCCCCCCCCAAAGTGTGTCTGTCCATTCACTGACCTGTCAAACTCATTCATGCACCTGTCTGTCTTTGTGTAACTGCATGCCATATTTGGTTTATTCTCAGTAACGTTAAGCACCGTGTTTTTCTCTTAAGGTCTAAAGTAAATAAGAAAAAGAGATCCATGGTCTGACCACAGCGAACATGGGCTCTGGCTTTTCCTTTGGAGTTGGCAGAAATTTGGACTCATGCTCCATTTGTACAGATCAAGTGAGGAACTGGGGAAGCAAATGTCACTTTTCCACTTTTTATTTTATATTGTTTTGTGTCCATTTACATTTCCAGTAATGGAAGTGTTATTTTTACTGTACTTTTTGGTACCTTTTTGAATCTAATGTATTGTATGGTTGTATTTTTACATGTCTACTGGATTTACAGATGAGCAGGAGCAAGAGCTTTTAAAGCTCACAAATAAAACAATTTTGCTTTTTTTTCCTTTTGGTGTTTCTAGATCTTTAGTTATTTTCTCCCGTGCTGAGTGTTGGATGCGAAGTTGCATGGCTTCAGATGTGGGGTGAGGCTAAATAAGGGATTTAAACTAATCAAAGGGTTCATTGTAAGCGTGTCAATTGAATGTTTGCAGATGGTCTAGTAGACGAAGACAACCAGCATTTTTTTTTTCTTTCTTTTGGCTTTTAAGGAGATTCTTCCCCCATCATGTTTGCAATTTTAAGTGGCTTTACTAGTGTTATTCAACTGAACGCAAGCCTGTTAATGTACGAGGGTACTCCCTCTTTCACTGGAAACTCATTCCTCTAGTGTCTTGGGCAAATTGGTAGAAATAAACTTTTGGTTTATATTACACATGGATCTTTTTGTTATTATTTGTAAAGTTAATGTTAAATGTTTTGTACTGTTAAATGGCTTGCTTGTTTTGTCATGAGTAATGTTAACATCTCTACGGATGCCTCTTGGGAAGCTGTGGGAGAGTGCTCCACTGTCTGCAGGATAACTTGCTGAGTGTTAATACCCACCCCACTAGATGTGAAACTGCGATACTTGAGCATTTTTGTGAATGTATCCAGGAGTTAAAAGATAGTGGTCTGGTAAGTGCTTATCTCAACCGTACTGTGTATTGAGAACATGTTGCTGATCAGTGTTGTAAGTTGGGACTAATTATTTTATATATTGCTATTGTGGGTAAAAGAATTCAAGAGTCAGGATTTAAAAGGTGTTAACTTTATTAGTTTTAAAAATAAAACTTTGATTAGTGTTGCATTAGCATAATCCTGTATATTGGTCATCTCCCAGGTGGTAGTAATGTGCTGTAGCTTGCACCACCTTTTAAAATATATAAACCTCCAATTGGCTGGGTTCATCAGTGAGGTGACTGCAGCTCCCCATTCTATTAAAGTGACACCTGAGGGGGGGGGGGAAACACAATATTTCACTTTTAGGTTGCACAGCTCTACATAAATGAAGAGCAATCATCAAATGTTTAAAATTTCTCACTGCTTGGATTCAAGCACTGACATAAAAAACCCTATTAATAGATAGTTGGTAATTCTATTTCAAAAACAAAATGACTGAGTCCCCACAGCGGTCAGTTGAGTGAAGGGCAGCAACATGTTCTGCCAAGTGAAATGAATGAACTTGTTTGATCTACTGGAACCTCAAGTATAGACATTCATATTTCTACCTCTGAACTTTATGAATGTGACCATCTGACAATGTCTGATGCAATTAAAAGTTTTTCTACAGGTTTAACAAACCTTAGATGTCTTCCTTTTCCAGTTTAAGGTCATTGGCTTCAATGTCTGTGAGAACAAGAATATAAAGTTACTCTACACTGAAATTATGGATGTGTGAAATTAAGTCTTTATGGGAATCTTTAATAGTGTTCAGACTCCTCATACAGTAAATGTCAAGTAGATGCATACCTACATAAAATGCTGTGGTAGCAACTGTAGACTACAGATGGTGTTTGTGTATCTAACCTGTGAGGATGCGGTCAATACATTGTACCACCAGTTCTGCATCCTCCATACTGAAGCACATAGGAGGCTTAAACTTCAAGACGCTTTCCCAGGGGCCATCTGTACTGACACAGATTCTGTCCTCCTCTTTCAACCTAATGGAAATGGGACATAGAGTAAAATCACAGGCCACCACGTGGCGGAGACTGTACACAAAATAAATGAAGTTGTAGGCAGCATGTGTCTCTCCTGGCAGGTAAAAAATAGCAAACTGACTGTATAGGACTCAATTCCTGTACCTCTTCACCAACAATGCAGCTGTTTTTGTGGCAGGTGTCCTCTTCTCCCTGTCTGTAACCAGCTCAATGCCCAAAAACAGTCCTGCACCTCTGTTAAAAGAAAGAGGACGTATAGATTTTTTTACTTTTGGCAGATTGAGTCAGGAAATGCTGCAAGAGATCTGTGGTTGACACATTTGAACCCATGTAAGTCCTTCATGAATCACCACAACCTTGGGGCGAAGTCTTATTTGGCCGGTTATGGTAATCAATATAGTCTAAAGACATCTGGCATATATTGATATTATATTAATGTCCCACCATCATGGTTAAGAGATGCGGCGTCTGCCTACTTGGCCGTGCTGACACATTCTCGTCAAACACCTAATGAGAACATGTTTAACATTCAGTACTTGAATGGTTGAATCCCAGAATCACGCAGCGTGTTTGCTTTACAGAACAGATAACCATATTAAATATGGAGCCCTTGCCTGACTTATTGTTATTGGGGGAAGAGTGATTGCTGTCTATTTATATTAATTTGGCCCATTTGTTATATGAAGCAGGTCACTGGGATTCTTGACTAGCTGGAGCCATTGTCGATGTAATTAATAACACCTGTGCTTTCTCATAACACGTCAAAATGTCTGCTGTGAAAAAAAACTCGTACACCACAGAAATATCAGTTAGGTTGAATGAACTGGGAAAAAACTGTAGGGATAGGGGCTCATTTTTGCTTAATACACATTTGGCTTTTCTATAATGTAAAGTCAGTGTATAAGTTATGAGCTGTGTGTTCAGATCGTTTACTTAAGCAAAAGTGCTAAAACCAAACAAGAAAATGCCCCGCGACAAGGAACAATCCTGCATTCAAAACCTTACTTAAATAAAAAATACTAGTATTATCAGCAAACTTGGATTAAAGTATCAGCAGTAGTTATACTGTTATATATGATGTTTTTGGATTGATATTAATGCTGCATTAATGTGTATGTTATACTACTTTACTACTTTATATACTGTTGGGTAGTTTTATTTACAACATTGCATTAGATTCTACAAAACCATCATATGTTTGTAGCCTCAGCTACGGCTGTCCTGTGAGAACCACGTATCTCTAAAATGTTTCATAAGAACAGCCGTTCTCAGCTTTGTTTAAATAGTTTATTTCACTGAAGAAGTTGGAGAATTTCCTCAACCCATAAAAAACAATTAATTGTTTACTTTAGCAGAAAAATATGTCATCTGAAAAGTAACATGTAACTGTCAAGCTGTTGGGCAAATGTAGGTCCACCTTAAATGAAGATAATGCCTTGTTATACCAATTTATGCCAAAATCGCTCATAAAAACAAAACAAAATTACAGTTAAATTGTTAAAGAAGAGTATAAAGACAACGTCATGTTTTGTGTTTACACATTGTAGCACTAATAAGGACTAGTTTTACATGTACGGGGCCACATGACATTCTCCTGCTGCTGTATAATTGATAAGGTATCACAATGTATGTGTTTCACTAAGATGCACGAGTGTCTCATTGTTAAGCACATCTCAATGTTGTCTGTTAAATACCCAGCGTGAAAAATGAGCACAGCCAATTCTAGTTGTACAACATTATTGGCCAAGGTAAATAAAAACGTCAGTGTGGTGTAGGAACTTTAATAAGGTAGCAGTAAGGGTTATGTTAAAACTTAATGTTGGCCAGACTTTCTTCATCAGTTCAAGCTTTTTATTATTGTTTTTAAAACTGCTATAATGCACAGGATGCTTACCTGACTTCACCAATTATTTGATGTTGTGTTTGTAGCTTTGTGAGCAAATCTTTTAGATGTGCTCCCACCCTTGTGGCGTTTCCCCTTAGGTCCTCTGTCTCTATCACATCAAGGACTGCCAGGCCAATTGCACAGGACACTGGGTTCCCTCCGAACTGCAGGAAGTTTGAGAGAAAACTAATTATTTCATCTTTGCTTAAAAGCAGAAATTTGTGTACACCTATACACGAGTTACTTTAGGAATTCTAGTTAATAGAGTTACAACGATTAATCGCCATGTATTTTGATAATCCATTAATTTTCTTTGAGTCATTTTTCAATCTTAAATGTGAATTTTTTTTCTTTAGTGCTATATGACAGTCAACTGAATAGCTTTGGGTTGTGAGGCCGTCACGTTGGGATAGTTGCAGCCCTCGTTAATAATGTATGTTATATGTAGCACTGTAGTGGTAAATTAAAGAGTGGTTGAAAAACAAATAATGTTAATGTTAATGTTAAATATAAGTCAGTAATCAAAATAACCACAAGAAAAAAGAATAAATTACTCTTGAAGGAACATTATTTTTGCCTCTTTAATTGAAAAGACCCTATCTTCACATAATCAGTTGAGTGATAATAATAGTACTGACTATGATATCACATACCGTGAATGTCAAGATTTACGTCAGACTATAAGAACGTATTCCTTATTACAAAAAGCCGTAGATATCCCTGGATTACTACTCTGGCTCTCTTAGCTGGGAGAGGCTACAGACGCCAGCTTGAAGGAGCATTAATTAATATAATGTCGAGGCTACTGTATAGTCACCGTATTGAAGTACTCCACTCTGTTGGCTGTGAAAGCTTCAGCTATCTCTACCGTAGTTGCCACACATGCCAGGGGATGCCCATTGCCCATCGGTTTGCCCATGGTCACTATGTCGGGACAGAAATTCTCCCCTTGCTGCTGGAAACCCCAGAAGTGACTCCCCAAACGTCCAAAACCTGTCTGCACCTCGTCAGCCACAAACACTCCACCGGCTGAGCGCACATATCTGTGGAGAGTGTGAGGGAGATGCAGGTTTTCACCGTTACTGTATATGTGCCTGAGAAAAAACTGGACCTGGAAAATTAGTAACCACTCACTCTGCAACTTTAGCTGAGTATCCTCGGGGCAAGATGATTTGCCCTCCAACACTTGGCAATGATTCAGCAAAGAAGGCAGAGATCTATAGGGGAGAGGTAGTAAATAAGTAAATACATGTTATGCATTGGTCATGTTTATCACCGCATTTTGAGTCTCTGTAATGGTAAGTGTGTTGTTTGTGGTAAAGCGTACCTTACGACCTTTCCTGTGCACCTCCTCTATTAGGTCTTTCACGGTATCCGCATATGCTTGGCCCGGGTTGGGGTGATTCTCTCTGTATATCCCTCTGTAGGTGTCTGGTAAGGGTGCCTTGGAGGATGAAACACATTCATTCAGATTTGCAGGGGTCCACTGTCGGTCAGCAGTTTGTGTAATTATGATCTTATAAATGTACACACCACATGAACCCATTCTTTCTGTCCTGCCAGTTTCCGGAACTTGTAAGGACTGATGTCGATGAGGGACATAAGGTGCCCATGGTATGCACTAGTGTAAAAGAAGAGTTCATTGTAATTGATGAGCAAGTGTACTGTCAGAGGGTGAACGTGCAGCATTGGAACAGAATACTTACTGGTCGAGCACAATGACGTCCTCCTGTTGGGTGTACTGCTGTGCCAAGCGCAGGGCAAGATCATTGGCCTCTGAACTGTCAGAAAAACAGATGTGAAACCACTGGTGCGGAAGGGTACTTCAGGAATACGCTTCTGTTGGGCTGTGGGTGTATTAAACAGTATTTACCCGGAGTTAACAAAGTAGAAGACACACAGTTTCTCAGGCAGGGTGGCAGCCAGGCGGTCTGCATACAGGACTATGTTGTCGTGCAAGAATCGTGTATTAGTGTTCAGGAGGTCCATTTGTGCTGCTGCAGCCTTGGTAATGCTAGGGTGACAATGGCCCACTACAATAGAAAAGGTACTGAATGTTACTTTAAGACATTTAAAGTGTCTGCCACTAGGAGGCAGGAGTGTAGCATAGTGAGTCTTTATAAAAGTAGTAAATCTACAGCTATGCACTGAGTGATAAATGTCTTACCGTGATGGACATTGCTGATACAGTCCAGGTAGCGCTCGCCATTTTCATCGAATAAATATTGTCCTCTTGCTCTTAGTATTTTCACAGGGTCGTCTGAATAAAAGAGTTTACATGATTGCCTGTAATGAAACAAGTGAATACGTGTCAGCCCCAATGCACAGCAACACACAGTTTGCAGTGTGAACAATATGAGTACAGTGTAGTGTGAAGAAAATCCCACAATAAGCACTAGTTTCACGTCTCCATACCCGATTAATCTCATCCTCATTGCGAGAGTTTCTTCTTTCTTCAGTCTATCTAGTGCCATGTTTTCTCTCTGTGTTTATAACCTTAAACCAAACCTTAAACCAAAAACTGCCGAGGCAAAAGGACCAAGAGCCACGTAATAACTTATAATGAGTAACGTTTTATGGAATTGTTTTCGATTCGTCTTGACATCTACCACGCATGCGTCAATGGTAGACTTGTTTTAGTCGGTGTCACTTAACCTAAGCGTTCTGCAAAATAGTTTTTTTATATATATCGCAGATATAGGTAGGCTGTATACATTTGGTATATATGATATTATTTTAGTAAATATCCGAAAAAGCTGCGTTTATTTGTTGCAAAGACATTTCATGGTCAGTTCTGATTTTATGCTGTCGCTTTATTTAGAATGGCCTAACTGTGGGGCCGTTCACGTGACAGAGACGACCAAAATAAGTGTAACATGTTGCTAAAAATGTTGTTTTAGTTGGGAACACATGAATACAGGTCATATTAGAGAAGTGTGAGCTATATAAGTGTTGTGGGGTTTCCTTAAATAGCTTATTTGAGGCTCTGCATTCACAGTACCTCTCTATTGGTATCGCCCAAAGGCTATAAATACTCCGCCGAACTGCCCTCTACCCGGTGCACTGTGTGCAGCTTCGGTTGCTAAGGAACCACTGAACGCAGGTAATACATCAGGACAGCTGTAGCATGTTAGCTTGCAAACAGGCTGCGTAGCCAAGCTAACGCTACAACTGATTTAGATATCCATTATCAGCCCAGCCGTTAAATGTATTAACGTCCCTTTATATAGTCTGGCTTTAACGAACCGTGGCTACAACCGGGTACGATGACAAGCTATTAAACGATAGCAAACAAACCGAATGTGAGCAAGCTAACGCTAGTAACGATGGTTAGGACACTTGTTATCCTGTCAGCTAATATAGCTAAAGGAACCGGCTAATAACCTGCTGCTCCACGGGCTGCATCGTGTCGGTCAGCTAGCCCACTATATACTTTGTTTACTAGCTAAAGTCGGTATCGGATTTAGGCAGTAATGGGTCGTAGCTACATTGTCAATGACAAACAGTTGTAGCTAAGGTTTGAGATAACGTTGTAGGTTTTTAACTGGCTAACTCAATCGTTGTGTTTCTCAGACCAGCGCAAGCTGCGCAACACTGCCTTTAACTTACTTTCTGGTTTTCACGTTACTAACGACGAGACGTGTCCTCATGGTAGACCTACTAATTAATCCAACTAACTGTTAATAGTCTTGATTATTAGCGTTTTGTGCTAGATGGGACTTGGTAGTCGTTATGAGAATATAGTTTTATTAATTTGAACTGACGCTGACGTTGAAGTTTGTAAGGCAAGATTGACAAGTGATAAAGTTTTAAATCAGCTGGTGGTTGACAGCCCTGCTCTTGGCTGTTTGTGAGGAAATGAGTTGATTCTGTGGGGTGCCGAGTTTGAACAGTGGCTGCTGTCTCAGGTCCACCCTGTGCCGGTGAAGAAGCAGCTTGTCTTCTGGCATGTGGAACTAGGCTAGCAATGTAGCACCATTTGCCACAAGGAGGAAGGCCCTGGAGGCCACATCTGACTGCCAAAAGCAAGTGTGGAGGCAAATGTCATCAATGAGTAGGACTCTTTCATCAAATATCACCAAGTGTTTTAATTCAGATTAAGATGCACAATTTGAAGTTGATGGAGTTTTATATTTGTGCCTGGTTTGTGTCAGTATTGTAGTTTTTAGGTTTCACATTTAAAGCAAAGGCTAAAGGGCCATGTTACATTTTATTGCAGTGGATAGAGTTTATATATTGTCTTTCTGTTTAAGTTTTAGTTTCGTGCTTTGCAAATGTTTAGCTCTGATTCTTCCATGAGCCACTGCAGGTTAATCTCAAATGTTTTAGATTGAGTAACCATTAGATTTTAATGGCTAACTTTGCTTTTTGCATGCAAAGAAAACATCAGAGGAATTTGTTTTATTGAACTGGACATGCAGGCAGGCGGTCTTGTCGTCCCCTGCTCTCTGGGTACATCACACCATTTTGGCTTTGCCTTGGTAATATAAGCCCTTGAGACCTGGTCACTGTTCTTTTGTCCCCCTTGCAAAGATACTGTGGCATGCTTCCAACCCCTATCCCCATTCATTTTTCACACACTTCCCCCATTCTTCCCCCTTTTTTGTCTCTCCCTCCCCCTTCCTTTCACTTCACAACTCTTGTCATTTCTGTTTATTGGACCCAACTGACTTTGATTGCCCTAAAGGTTTTCACTTAGGACATGCTATTTATTTTCTTTTACATTGCACTAGACTATGTTTGTAGTCCCAATAAGAAATTTCCATGTTCACTGTGCATGTTGGAATGTGAAGTGTTTCTTTGTTCTGGGTCTCCTCATATCCATGTGCTCTCTCTGCCTTTGTGAACATGAACTTCTGCCTTTTCATGTGTGAATGAAGCGGCATGTAGTTCCCAGGCTGGGTCTCATGTGGAAATATGTGGTCACTTATTAAAACACACTTATTGAGGCAATCTGTTCCTCCCTCTGGGCCTTTCTGCTCGACAACAGCTACAGCATGTGGAGGAAAGTCCCCATTAGCAGATTTTACACTCCTGTCCACACTGTCCGAGGCCTGATGGTTCTGCTTGGCAAATTATAAGCTACTGTTCGTGTGTGTGTGTGTGTGTGTGTGTGTGTGTGTGTGTGTGTGTGTGTGATCATTTTCAGTTAATCATTGACGTTGTTTCATACGGACCCCTTCTCATTTGTTCCTCTAGGTGGCATAAAGATGATGTTGCCATAGTGGGAAAGCTGGTCAGTCTGGCAGGTTGAGGTGTGGAGGGGACGCCACTAACCACGCCAGGATTCTGACTAATATTTCCACTGCCCTCAGTAGATCTCCTCATCCTCTCCATGTCTATCCCTGGGTTGTAGCTACAATTATGGTGACGCTTATCACGGAGCAGCTCCGTAAGCAGAGTTTGGAAGAGCCTTATTACAAGGCTTTCTCATTCAATGTGAATGTGGTGAGTTGAATGCAAAACTAATTCTTCTGTCCCCCCCAGCCTTGATTCGCTTATGAGTTCTGCTTTTGAATTTAAGTAATGTTATTTCTGTTTCAGTCATTACCTGCAGTGGGCTCCAGTCCCACTGTCTCATGGAGTGCGTGTAGATCAACACAAGGCAAGTTTGTTGAATTAAGTACAGCATTTGCAACCCATCAGTAGGAAAGTCTTTCTCATGTCTTTCTTTTGGCATTTTCAGAGACCAGCTCAGCTCACCCATCATCCAAAGCTAACCCTCTGGATGATTCCTGTGGACCAGACTCCCTATGGCTATCTTCCCATTCTGGAGAACCTGTCCAGAGACCGGAGGTTTCCTTCACAGATAAGGCTTTCGAAAGCTCACCCCCACCACCTCCCCCAAAACGCCACTGCCGTTCCCTCTCTGTTCCAGAGGACCTGTCTCGGTGCCGCTCTACCTGGCATCCTAGTGCATCCAAAGTTTGGACCCCAGTCAAACGTGGCTGTCAAAGTGGAGGAGCATCTAGTTCAGGCTCTGGAGCCAGCTCGTTGCCACTTTGTGGTCCCAGTTCCTCCTTCACCTCTTCATCCCTACACTCATCTTCTAGCCCTACCTTCTTCAGCTTAGCACTGTCCTCTGACTCCCCGCTACCATGGAGCTTTCCATGGGACCCCTGTGACAAACTGAAAGGCTCCTGTTCTGCCTCTTTTGCTACTCCTTCCTCCTGCTCCTCTTCACCAGCCCCCTTGGTTTCTCACTCAGTGCTGCAGCGTCGCTTCTCACTCTCTCCTGTGCTCATCCAGGACCCCTCTGTGGTTCTTCTGCCCCCCCGGCCCTCCCCTGCTTCTGCAATGGAACATCCAGCCCTGTCTCCATCTCCCACTTCAGCCTGCAGTACACCTTCCTCCTCTAGGCGCGACCTGCACCCGGCACTACCGCGATGCCATTCACAGCCCTGTGACATGCGCAAACCTCGCTTGAAGAGGCGCCGTGATGCAGATGTTCTGCCCTGCCCCAGGCCAGGCCTTGACTTCAGCAAGATGACACAGGTGATGACACACTCCTCATTTTGGTGCATATATTGAGATCAGTAAGTAATCATTTTAACCCAGGCCTGGGTTCACTAGTGCCCATGTTTTCTGTCCTCTGAAAGGCAATCGTAGGCCTCTGGCAGCAACCCACATCTTGGCTCGGCATAGCAAAGCTTGGCCCCCATGCCATCAACCTTCCATATTTCAGACTAGTATTTATCTTGTGTCCGTAAGTGAAGAAGTGAACCTCTAGATCTGTTTCCATATGACTCACATCAGTCAGGTTTGGGTTCTGAGTTGTCTTAGGTGCTGGCAATTTTACCCAATTGTCAAGCCCCCTTTTGATACATAAAACCAGCTATTATAAACTCTACTGATCCTGAGTTCCAGCCAGAGATTGACCCATTCTTAATGAGACTCCTGTTACAGGTTTGCTTGGTTGCAATTGCTTAATAAAGCTAAACTAACTTCCCACTCCCCGCCTTGATATGAGAAGTTCAAAAGGTTCCAAAGGCAAAATCCTGCTTAATTTTTCTGACAATTTTGACTTTTTTTTTTTTTTTAGTCAACCACTTATTTTGCACAAATATAACATTGATGAGCCCCTGAGTGCACACTCAGTTAGGTAGGTAGAAGGTTGCAGTATGTTGGCCTGCTGGCACTCTTAGCCTACACATTCTGATCTGTGTGTCAAGTAGTAAGTTACATATTTACCACATTTAACAGGATTAAATAACCTTTATGTAACCTGCATAATTTCAATAAAAGGCTATAGTTTCCAGAGTTAATGGTGTTTCGGTAGATCATTTGCCTTATCGGTCAGATGACACATGTCAGCCAAGCCCATTAAATCTGATATCATTTAATCTATACTTAACCAAGAAACAGGAACTGCCCTCCATGCACACTTCCTGCCATTGTCAGTGATCTCTTCACTGCACCAGCTATATTTTATTACCTCTTGAGCATGGATCCTGAGACGTATGAGCTTGAATCTGACTGCATTAATGTGCACTGAGAATAAGATTTGGGTCCCATTTTTAGTGAGGCGTTTCCCATGTGTTAAATGCTACAATCATCACATGATAACCTAATCCTGACGCTTCTTTCTCCTGTGTAGATTGGTAATCATGAGAGCCTAGTGTGTGGTACAGGTGGCTGCATAGTCCAAGTGTCTTCCCAGGCAGAGCAGCACTCAGCCTTCTCCCCTGCTGAATTCCTGGGACGAGCCAGCATTGGGCCACTAAGTGAAAGTGAAGAAGAGGAGGAGGAAGAAGACAAAAGAAAAAGGACTGTAATAGATGGAGGACAAAAGATTGTTTTTGAAAGAGACTGCACAGAACTGGACTTGAACCTTATAGAAGAGAACTGACCAACCCTTGGTGCTCCCAGTGTGACTACTGCATTCATAACCATGTTAAGCACACCTGTAGGCTTTGTGCGCTCTTCTGGCAGAGTCCTTGGGAACCTGCTGCCCTCCTAATGCACATGTCCAGAGTTCATAATAAAGAACCAAGCAATTAGAAGCTAATATCAAATTACAATGTTATAGGGAAAATGTGCATGAGCAAATAAGCTAGTTTTCATGCACAGAGAATTTTGGATAATATTTCATATTGATACAAGTCTTAATTTGCGCTAATCATTAGTACACATCTTGATAACCTTACATATCGTCATCAAAGAACACTATATACTGGAGTAAGCAGAATGTGCTTAATATTTCCTCATAAGTGATTTGAATACACAGGTTAATAGTTTAATGGGATAGAGGTAAGCAATCCTCAGTGCCACATCCGATGGTGGTGTATTCTACTTTAGTATTTGGGTCTCTGAATTTGGAAATGAAATGACTGTGTAATGTGACATATGGAGCTGTTGAAGGTGGACACAATGACGCCATGTGTAGGTCAGAATAATGTTTGAGTAGCCCAAACGAGATAATAATACGTATCTATATGTAAATGCTCTCCTGTATGTTAACAGGATACATTCCAGGATTTCTCTGCAGTTCCTTAAAGGTACAATGTGGAATGTCAGAAAGTCCTTGTTATGATGCTGGTGGCCGTTACGTGAACTGCAGTCAGCATCCTGTCGCTCACGCTCTGCAGGCGAGAGCATCAGCCAGAACGGGGACGTGACGAACAAGACTGAACGCTGCTATGGTGGAAAATAAATTACAATCATTTACTTATTTTAAATAACATAACTATCTATAATGTTATCTAGCTTGCCGTTTGCAAATTACTGTATCGGGCAACGTTACGAAGCAACCAACGTCAGATCCATGCCGCGAAGCTAGATTACAGGTAGCTGGATAACTTTAGCTTAGGTTGCCTTGTGTCACTCTTGGCCAACTAAAGCAATCATTATTTTTACGTCTTTTATGCATCTTTTTAGAGCAAATGCGTTTTTTTTTTTTTTTCATAATACATAAGTTGATATCATGGACTGTGTTAGCCAGTGAAGTCATTTGGAAAGCTAGCCAACTAACATTTGCTAGCAATAACGGTAATAATTTCCCAGAAAAACGATCCTCAATCCTTTTACACTGGAATCAGTCCGCAGGCTGGCATAGGCAACCAAGAAAGTCAGGGAAGGTCTAATTTTTTACGTTGCGTTACAATCCGATGAATGCAAATTGCTTTACATTTTATATATTGCACCTTTATATCCCTCACAGACCCCTGTTCTGTCATCGATTTAGATTTTGGTGTCACTCGACATCATCAAAGGGAAGCTCTTCTCGTCCACCTTTTTGTTCGTATATATTTTTTCTTTTGGGAGTTTTCACAATTGCTTGAACATTAACACAACTTGTCAACAATAATACTGATGATACTGTAAACTGACCATGCCTTAAGCTTAAAACACAGAGTTCTTGGTGCTCTGGTCTTCTTTTCACAGCCAGACAATTTTTGCAGTCTCCATTTAGCGCTGATTCAGATATTTTTGAACAGGTGGCACATGCACTATAACAGTCGATTGAATAACTGAATCGATGCTGCAGCTGGACTCCATAGGGCACAATGTAATGTACTGTACAGCGGTTTAGAGTGAGTACACACGTCGAGCCAATTCTGAGTGTATGTGACAAAGGCGGTAGTGACGCAGATGATTTGGTGGCCTTTCAGAAATGATTTTTCATGTGTTTTCAGATAGAAATATTCCTGTTGCACAATTTATGTACAAATAAAATTTAATAGAGAATGATATTTTTTTTTTTTTCCCAAAAAGTTTCTTGTCTTCATTAAAAGAAATATAAAGTCAAATGAAAACAGCTCCCAATAGATTATTATACTACTGTGACACCTAGTGGGTGATTTTAGTATAATACTGATTATTATTGTTTTATAATAAATTGATTATTAATATTAATTTACTGGCAGCTAAATAAACTGTTCTGAGAAAAAAAAAAAAACAACAAAGTTAGTTTATAAGTTAGTTCCTAACTTATAAACTCGCTGCAACAAAGCAACAACCCCTTATTATTTCAACAATAAATAAACACTTGTAAGTCTGAACACACTCAACAGCGGATAAAGTTAAAGTACACCATGTTTTATACTTACATACGCAGGGCCTGTTGCACCGGAGGAGTCCTGCGTCTCTGTGTCAGACTGCCGTTCCGCCGTGGAAGGTGAGGGCGCTCATTTCAGTCCACTGATGCTTTTTCAGACGGCCCTGACCCCCCCACCAACAAGCCACTTCCTCTTTTGTCTAATTTCATGGCGATCGGGAGAGAGAGGGAACACCACCGACGCACGCACACTGTCTCAGCACTCTTGAAAGAGTTTATCCGGGGTAAATACCTGACAATTTTTGCAAGATTCACTCACTGGGTTAAAAAAGTAGTCCTGCTTGAGTTCAGTCCTGTGGGCGATTCACCTCTCCCTGTGAGATTTATCATTTTTTAAAAAGCTTCTGGGTCAGATATTTTACATTGTAGCGCCCCTCGCTGATAAGAAATCGGACGTAATGGGCTCTCTCTCCCCCCTCTCTCTCTCTCTCTCTCTCCCTCCCTCCGCTTGTCTCTCTCCCACACACTCAGCAGCACGCTAGTTAACGGCTAGCTAACGTTAGCAACGCTGCTAAACGCCACATAAATGTAGCTGTGGACATTTTCTTTTTTATTCTATTTTTTTTTTCCTTCCTTCTTGACACACTTGTCATTTTGGTAGCAGATAAATAACACCAGCTGCGGCGTGTGTTCGCCAGGTAGCGGGAATAACGGGAGTTTATATTAAAACGCCACTTTTAAGTTCTCAAATGTTTGTGTTTGGGTTAGCTAGCCAACGTCGCCGTTGCTAGCTGCCGTTGCTAGTTAGCGTTAGCTCGGATCGCGATTCTGAAGTTTAATGCAAGCTGAACCACTCGAGAAGGAAGACGCTAATTGTGATAGGTTTGTCATCTACACAGAGTTAAACAACTTACGTATCTGCACGGAGCATATACGCGTTGTACACCATTCAGTGAACACAGTTATTCTCGATAGCCGAGGAAACGGGTGAGCTAGCGCCAGAAGCTAGTTAGCTACTTAACGGTAACTTGGTTGCTAACGAGGAGCTCCCGAACCAATTGATAGGTTCATTATGAAGTGATCGATAAAGTTAGCCGCTCGTACTGTCAACTAACGTGGACATGCAGTGTTGGTGTTTTAACTGTTTTATGTGTGCTTTGGGAGAGAGAGTCGCGTTGTTCTCGCAATTTAAAGTAAAGTTGGACCCCCCCAAAAAAAGTTGTGAACCCTGATCAATAACTCTTTTAACAGGTTAAATATAGTGTAGGAGAAAAAGTGATTGTGTGTTATTAACCAGTCCTGAAGCATGAATTACCTTTATGAAAACACAAGGGGGATTCACATAACACAAACATTTTTTACTCACTGCTAATCCTGCAGAAATCTTTTCAACAAGCCACAGGCAGTGACACCAAGTGTGTGTGTGTGTGTGTGTGTGTGGCGTTATTTAAAATCTACATACTTTTTCTTTTGTTTACAGTGTAAAGTAAGTTGTCAACCTGAGTGGGACAACAGACATTTGTTCTCCAGGTGAGTGTCTGACTAACAGTCTGTCACTGAAGGAATAACCCACTGTAATATAATATATCTCTGGGTTTAATTTGATGAACTGGGAGTGATTGATTCTTCCAGTTCTTTGGCACCACGTCCTTGTTTTTAATTGCTACACATGAATATACTACATTTACTACAGGATTTAATGGTCACTTACACAAAAGTACAGTCAAGTACAGTTTTGATCCCCTATTTCTTATTCAGAACAAGTTATTCGGGTAGTTGCATATGGAAATATAAACAAGTGATATATTTATTTTGTATCTTTGTGCAGGTGAAACTAAGTGGACATCGTTAAAGGGGCTCCATAGCACTTGGATCTGTTCTTCCCTGTCCCAGGTTCAGACTGCTTGGTCTATGGCTCTGATGGACAAACACAAACAGGTCAAGCGGCAGAGACTTGACCGCATTTGTGAGGGTGAGTTTTCATACGTTTTCATACGCAAAGTGAAAGTAAATATGTTGGAGCTTGTGTTTTTGAGCTGTATTTTGTCAGTGTAACATCTCTACAAGTGTTACAACTTAACTTTATTGTATTACTGCCACTCAGCCAGACCATCGTACTCATATAATCAGTTAAGCCTTGTTCGATGGTCGATAGTCTTTCATACGTGATGGCAGTAGATATGCGCTTTTTGCTGTGTCCACATGTGAAAACACTTTAGCATCAGCCTACAAGTGTGTGAACTATGTAGGCAGAACATAGTGAGGGCAAATTTTGCTTATTTAAGGTAGAAAAATAATCATATTTATTAAAGTTTGTGCCTTCTTTGAGTTCTATATTACGTTCATATTGTTTGCTATTTAATGGTTGCTTTAATCTTGTGCTCTAGGAGTATTGTGGTTTTGATGAAATTCCTTTTTTTAGTTTTATGGTGATGAAAGGTTGTTGGTTAACATACTGGTCTGTGGTGCTTTCTAACTGAAGTAGTAATGTTAACTGACTTCCGACCATTATTGTATTGCTTACTGGCCTTTTGTGTGTTTTGAGAGTGTTTGCTGTTCAATTTATCTTTGTTAAATTGGTATTAGAGCTGCTGATATGGTTTTTTTTTTTTATATATATATATATATATATATATATATATATATATATATATATATATATATATATATATATATGTGTGTGTGTGTGTGTGTGTGTGTGTATGTATTGCGATTATTTTGACAGATAATGCAATATGATTCATGATTGGTGGCAGTGATCCTTTTGCGTCACAACTTTCATTTTCACTGAAAAAATGACTCAAATCCTGATGGTGTGACATTTGTTGAGGGTCTGTGCTGCACAAACATGTTTTCTTACATTTGGAGAACACGATTTGTAGACCACACATTTTAACCTTACCTTAAAACTGCAGCTTCTACATTTTAAATAGTGCTCTTGGCTGTATTGTGATGTTAGATAATATATTTAAGTAAACTGTGAAGCCCTAATTGGTATGCAAGGAATGTAAACATGGAAGCTTTGCGCTGTATTTCATATTGAAGACGACAGAAAATAAGTAAACTTTTAATGTTGCTACAAGTGTATGCAGTCATGGATGGTACAGTGCAGATTTCTAGAAGAAACAGTATTTTGAACTGTTGCAGAGTGGAGAGTAGACGATGGCCATCAGACATAATGGTGTGCTAAAATGGAGGGAACAGTCTGGTAGAGTCTCTGGAGACGGGTGAGAGGGAGAGGACAAGGTGAAGGGTCGTGGCCGCAGCTACAGGGAAACGGGCCAGCTGTCTCTTTAAAAAACGACAACAGCACAAACCGCCCTCGGCCTCAGCCCCGGCTATGCTAATGAGGTTAGTGCTGGTTGGCTGGCCCTCAATGGAGCCGCCTGTGATTGGACGCTGGCCGTGGGGGAGGGGCTGGGCGTGGATGACAGCTGGGATCCAGCCAGCCAAGAGCAGGCTGACAGAGAGAGAGAGGGAGAAAAAAAGAGCGATAGAGGGAGAGCAAGGCGAGAGAGGGAGAGAGAGAGAGAGAGAGAGAGAGAGGAAGACGGGCTCACAGACTTCATAATGCAAGGTTAGGCCCGGTGCTCATGTGTTTTCTATTTTGGCATGTGTTTTTAAAATTTGTGAACTGTGGGGGGAGAGATCTAAGATTTGGGTGTGGAGCAGTTGTGGGTGCGCAGTTTTCCTTTTATGTTCAGCGCGTATTGGTGTTGTCGCAGCCGTTGAGAAGGAACTGAATAACCGTGTGTGTGTGTGTCTAGCTGCGTCTGGGTGGAGTACCGCTGCTTGCTGCATTATCATCGTTCGCTGCCCCTCCCCCCTCACCTCTTACTCCTCCAACTGCGGCCAGAGGGAGAGAGAAGAGGAGGAGGGAGTGAGGGGAAAGAAAGGGAGAGGGAGGGAGAATGAATGAATCACTGAATGAATTGTATTGTGTGTGCGGCCATGCTTGCGCTTAGTAGGCCTCGGGTATGCCTGTGTCCTTTGACTCAAATTACTGTGTGTAGGCCTACTTGTATATTTCCAGAACTACTTTTTCAGAGGGGGTCTTTGTGACAAATCCTTTTGGGTTTTTCTGCATAGTAAGAGTCTCTTTGTGCTTTCAGCGTGTAGCAGTAGGCCTGTTAGCATTCTTGAGCCATCTGCAATGAATGTGAATGGCACTGCTAAATGGAATGCAGTAGGTTGTACATTTCTATAAAGCCACCAGACCGTATGTTTTTTCTTTCTTCTGTGTGTTTCATGCATGCATTGGGAAATGCTCAGACGTCAGAGGAAGTGTTCACAAATATTTGTTTTCCACCCTCGGCTACCAGCTCCCTTCCCTCCTCTGCAGTCTTACCATTACCTCCCGCCGTCTGTCCAAGTAAATGTTTCAGCTAGACACACTGCCCCCACCCTGGGACCCACACATACACACCTGTCACCCAGCAGGGACAAGATAGTATGTACTGGTGCATGTGTGGGGTTAGTCCGAGCCAAGAACTGCTGAGAAGACGACAGAAAGAGAGAAATAGCATTTACAGATACAACTGCTAGTGTTGTTTTGCCCTAATTTAACACCAGTGCATTGGCAGACATGTGGCATTTATGGTAATTTGTTTTTGACATGCATCATTTTATTTGTTGACATGATTGTAAAAGGTCATGGTGTACATGGGCAAAATGTGCAGATGTTTGCCAGGTGTATGTGTGTTTGTATGTGTCTGAAGAAACGGGAGAACAGAAAAATAAGAAGGAGGGACTCTTCCAGACAGCAGAATTTAGGTCATGACTCAGACCCCCTCATGAACCCCCACCACCTCCTCTCTGAGACCCCGCAGTTTTCTCCACCCCTCCCCCCAGCCACCACACTCCATCACCTCTCCCCCTCCCATCTGAGCCCCCTCCCCTCTGTGTGCGCTCCTCTCATACAGTGGCAGGTCAAGTTCCCAGACTTAACACGTTATAAAAAAATGCTCTGCTTCATTAACCAGAATCTAACCTTCCCTTTAGAGGGGTCCAGAGTTGAGCTGGATCGATGAAAGCTGGACGGCGTATATTGGTTGCGTGCATTCTCAAACAGAGCTGGAGTTCAATACCAAATAGGCTGGGATGCTGGATGCTCTCCATGCCCCATCACAGATTTAGTTACACTTTGGTAACCATAGAGCACTCTGTAGGAACACACATACTCTTGATGTTGGTAGTTCTCTTAGGGTGTTGGTGGATGCATTGGAAAAAGAAAGTCATAAAAGGCTGAGTTATTATTGTCTAAAGAGTGTGGCAGCTAGCCCTGTTAACTTTAGCCCTGTGAGCAGGGGATTTTGTGTGAGGGTATGATGACTTGCCTTACGCTGGGAAGTCCAGACATGGAAAACGTGGACTGTTCAGTCACTAATCTGTAGCTTAACCATGCTGTTTCTGAAATGTAAGCGGCTGGTAGCTTTATACTGTATCATCAGTCACTCAGCAAGCTGTCACTGCAGTAAGACAGATGATTTGTAATTTGTCTCTTTTATTTATTGCTTGTGTGCAACAACCAACATTATGTTCCTCCTGTTGGACCCAGGTATCCGACCCCCTATCCTGAATGGGCCAATGCACCCGCGGCCCCTAGTGGCCCTGCTGGACGGGCGTGACTGCACTGTGGAAATGCCCATCCTCAAAGATGTGGCGACAGTGGCCTTCTGCGATGCCCAGTCCACACAAGAGATTCATGAGAAGGTAAAGCTGACACACGCATGTCCACACTGTAATCACAGTCCATAAGGGCAAAACACTGAAACCCTTGTTTCATTCTGATGTAGTATAAAAGTAATATACATCTAACTGTACCCTTAATTTCAAGCAGAACTGTCTAGAATTAGGATTAATGTTATTTATGTATTACTTCTGTAGGTGCTAAACGAGGCAGTGGCTGCTCTACTCTACCACACCATCACTCTGTCCAGAGATGACTTGGAAAAGTTTAAAGGCCTTCGCGTAATTGTTAGGATTGGCTCCGGCTTTGACAACGTTGACATCAAAGCAGCTGCTGAGCTAGGTGAGGTGGAATTGTAAACACACACACGATCAGCCATGAGCTAACGCAGAGAGCAACATGCAGAGTGGTTAATGTCTTTCTTCCTTTCTATCGGCCATCCAGGCATTGCCGTCTGTAACGTGCCAGCATCCTCTGTGGAGGAGACAGCCGACACTTCGCTATGTCTGATCCTCAACCTGTACAGGCGAGTCACCTGGATGCACCAGGCCCTCAGGGAGGGAACTCGTGCCTCTAGTGTGGAGCAGATTAGGGAAGTAGCTGGCGGTGCTGCTCGTATCCGGGGCGAGACATTGGGCATTATCGGTCTAGGTGAGTAACGATTATGGTCGTGGGTGCCTACATTTGTTAGTGTCTATTGTAGCCACATATTCTAACACTTCTTCTTCGTCTTTTTCACTTTGAGCAAAACATTTTGTGCTGAAGTGCTTGTAAAGATGTGTTTAATCCAGGCTTGACAGTTGATGGTCAGACAAACAGTATGCTGTAAGACCTGTTTTGTACATGTGCTTGCTCAGCGGCTGTTAAATAACCTTACCTTTTCTCTTTTTCTGCCAGGGCGTGTTGGCCAAGCGGTGGCTCTGCGGGCTAAGGCCTTTGGTTTTGGTGTGATCTTCTATGACCCCTACCTGCCTGATGGTGTGGAGCGCTCACTGGGCCTGCAGCGCATGGCTACCCTGCAGGACCTGCTCATCCACTCTGACTGTGTATCCCTGCACTGCAGCCTCAACGAGCACAACCACCACCTCATTAATGACTTCACCATCAAACAGGTGTGTGGCTGTCCTCTGAAAATGCAAAACACACATTTAGTCTCATGTTTGCTTTCTCATTTGTAGGTATTTTTCCAACCTCCTTCAATGTTGAATTTTGCTCATGTGATGAAATTTAATCATTTTAATTAAATTTTCAAGTGTTGGATCATTTATCAAATCTTATTTTGTGTTTTTCTTATGATATTTGTGCACTGTCTTCTGCTAAGTAAATAGCTGTTTTAGCACAATGGCCTTGTCCTAATGTGAGTCCAGTGTAATTACTTCTCCTGCTTGTATAATATGAAGAATCCTGAACCATCTATTAGACCAATTGGTTGATAATCTACAAAAAATAGGACTCTAACATTACCATATACAGTTCTGTTTTTATATGCAACGTAAAATCCTGACTTAGACATTTGGCGAACAATGTTTGAACATAATTGTCTAGACAGTCAAGACAACTTGGCCTAAAACAAACAATGTTTCAATGTTATAGGACAGTCTGCGTTATAGATTGGAAGAATAAAAATGATGCCAAATGATCTCACTCTGTACTGTTGCAGACTGAAAGTTTTAGCCTTTTCTGGCATGTTCTGCTCCCCATAGTTTAATCATACTGTTGCTAACTCTGTGATACAGATGCGTCAGGGAGCCTTCCTGGTGAACACATCAAGAGGCGGCCTGGTTGATGAGAAAGCATTGGCTCAGGCCCTGAAAGAGGGCCGGATACGAGGAGCTGCCCTGGACGTCCACGAGACAGAACCTTTCAGGTAACCACAAAGTAACACCGAACATCTGTGCATGATACATAACCTTATCACTCTTCTCTGTAACAACCTTTCCCCTTCTTAACAGTTTTTCAACAGGCCCTCTGAAGGATGCCCCCAACCTGATCTGTACCCCGCACACATCCTGGTACAGTGAGCAGGCATCTGTGGAGGCTCGCGAAGAAGCAGCCAGGGAGGTTCGCCGCGCCATCACCGGTAAGACGCTTTTCACTAAACAGGCTCAAGACTGTTGCTTCACTTAAATAAATTGATTAGTATAGATACAGTACCGGCAGGAACTACACAGATCCAACTGGGATGTTTTCATTCATGGAGCACTGATTTGCTTACGGCTGTGCAAAGTTTATGGCTGTGTGTCTGTGGCCTCAGCATTTACAGACTAAGGTGCATGTATAAAGGGGCTTTAAGGATTGGTTTATAATCCCTTGATTGTACAACATAACAATCAAAATATTGTATCTTCCTATTGATTAACCTGCGATTAACCTCTTGACCATTTCATTAATCATTTCGTCTAGAAAAAGAAATGTCCATTATAATTTCCCAGTACCCAACATGATATCATATTGCTTGCTCTGTCTGGCCAACAGTTCAAAGACCTCAGTTTACGTTATCATATATTACACAAAAAAGACAAGAATCAAATGTTCACTTGAGAATCGGCGAATGTTTGCATTTTATGCTTGAAAGCAATCTATTGTTGAAATAGTTGCTGATTAATTTTCTGTTGATCGACTAATCGATTAATTGACCAATGATTTCAGCTGTAGTTCATATTTTGCGGCATTATACTCTTTAAACACTCTTTTACCAGCCTTGAAATAACCCTTAGGAGAAGCCATTTCCTAGAATGAGCAGAAATGAGTAGCCTTCTACATGTGAGTATTAATGCAATTCATGCAAATAACGCACACTCCAGCAAATCAGAGTCAGATATTCTCTGTGGCTATTTTGTAAATGCCATATCATTTTATACTTGCAAATTATATAAAAGCAGAAACTGATTAAGGCTGCCCCCTAAATTTTGATGATTCCAATCAACAGTCAGAAAGCCCCCAATTTGAACCTCGTTCAGGCCGTCAAATTATTGCACTTTTTCATCTACGCTACATTTCGCGTTATTGTACACAGAAACGCCGGAGGACAGCATAGCAGGCTGGTAACTTTTACAAATTGAGTCACTACACAACTAACTGTGATGGAAAAGGTTTATGTATGGTGTTTGAGTAGTGTGTCAACCAGGCGCATGCACGTGCTACGAGCACAGAGATCATTATCCAGCGAGCAGAAAAGGGAGCATTTTTGCTCCACGTACACAAATGTGACAAGTAAGACAAAAATGATGCCAGTTTTGGGTTTTGAATGACTGTTGAATGCTATGAATGACAACACGTTACCAGAGGTCTATATATATTCTTCCCTCCTGGCAGATAAAGGAACCTGGCTCTGTAGATTCTAGCTTACAATTAGCTATAGCGAGCTCTAATATTTGCTTTGGGTACGTTGGGAATGATGTATTATGGATTATTGTCCTTTCAAAAGTATTGTACATATCCCAACGACTGAATGAACGAGAGAAACTTACATATGCTTTTATTTATGGCGCTGTGTTGTATTACATCATTAGTAAAGGCAGGAAAAACATACATTTTACAGCAGCAAAGTATGTAGGAGAAACTACGGTGGCCACAAAAAATCAAGAGCCAGTGTTTGTTTTGTCCGTTCTGGGATACTGTAGAAACACGGTGGTTCAACATGGAAGGCGTCCCGCGGCTTGTTTGTATAAAAACGGCTCATTCTAAGGTAACCAAATCGCAACAATTCCTATATTCAAGTGATTATACACTAATGAAAACATACCTACTGGTGTGACAGTCTGACAGTGGCCTACCACTTTGAACCGGCCGCTGCCGTTAAGAAATGGTATAGACAGGCGAAACACGAGTGGCCTACCGCTCAAGGGATCGGCATGTGCCACTGAACCACTAGTAGCCTACCGTCAATCTTGGCATCACTTTGAAAATGGTTGCTCTCTCTTCAGCTATGTCAGCGATCAAACAGCCAATCAAAGGTCATGTTCAGTATTCAAAGTGACCAATGTCAATTCCACCTGCATCCAAAGTCTCAAAATTCAAGTGTTGAGCAGTTGCTAGGGCGTCGGGAGGGTGGACCTCACACTCGTCACAGCCCTGTGCTCATGTGACCGCATTTGTGCACAAGAAGCTGAAAGTTTCCCTCGTGAGGATGCTTTTCCACTGAGGGATACTGTTCTGTGTGCTCTTATCACATGTACCCGCCTGGTTTTATGTGTGCGGGTTTTCAGATGAATTAAACGTCAATGTTATGGCAGAGTGAAGCAGCACATCGGGACTCATTCACTGCTCTGCTCTCTGCTGCACTCCTGAATGTTACTAAGTCAGTTAAACTACTGGCTACAACCGTGCAATCCGCAGTTCGGCTTATAGCCAGGAGCCACCAAGGGAGGTGTGTGTGGCGCACAATAATTTTATTAATGAACTATGACCCAGGCTTACACTGAGATATGTTTCACGTCACAGATGGTCAAAGACAAATATGGGGCTCTGTAGGTGTGTCGGACTGCGCTGTAACCGGGCAGAAACTGACAGCTCAGAGTTGGCTCAGAATATTCTGGTTCAGAAAACCTGAAAGAGTTAACGGTCTGTGTTCCCTCCGCTAGGACGTATCCCTGACAGTCTGAAGAACTGCGTTAACAAGGAGTATCTGATGGCAGCCTCCCAATGGCCCAGCATGGAGGCAGCCACTGTTCACCCAGAACTTAATGGAGCCACTTACAGGTGAGAGGAATGGATTTACACATCAGGCAGGCTTATGAGGCTGAATGTGGATCTGGGTGTTGTGACTATCTTTTTCTATTACATGATTCACATACTTATTTATTTATTTCTACATCTGTGTTTTAGATTTCCTCCAGGTCTGATCAATGTTGCAACTGGGGGTCTCCCTGGAGCTGGCACAGGGGTTGAAAGCCTGGTTTCAGGAACCCTGGCGCACGGCATCGCTCCCGTCTCCCACCCCCCTCACGCCCCCTCCCCGGGGCAACCTAAGGCCGAAGCCGACAGAGACATCCCCTCCGACCAATAGCCCCCCCTGCCGTTGCCAGCACATTCCATCACCTCTGGAAAGCAACCCCCACCTCCCGGCATCAGACACAGCCCGACCCTCCAGTACATTGGCAGCGCCAGTTTGACCTGATGTGGATCTACACAGTCTTGTTCCACAGATCACATAACCAGCCCAGGAGTGACTTATCCACAGCTAGCCCCATCCCATCCACACCCCACGAACACAAATCCCTCCATCTTCGTCCTCATCTCACCTACTCACCCGCCATCCCCCTCCCCTCCCACCCTTCACTCCCCCACAACGTCAGCAATAACTGTTCTCAAGGATTCAATGATTGGATTGGTTTATATCCTTAGTTGGCTGTTGTTTTAATGGAACATTGATCTGTTGTGGTTCTAGGTGTTAATGTTTGTTTGTAAAAAAAAAAAAAAAAAAATGGAAAAAAAATAGCATTTCTGACATGAGGCTTTACAGTCTGCTGCCTCTTGCAGTCCTCCTGACCTGACTCTGACCAGTAGAGGCACAGAGGCAGAAAGGTTGAAGCCCCCCTTTGTACATTAATGGCTTATGTTACTGCTCTCTTCTTCATTTCTTTTCTTTCTGCCCCCTTCACCATTTCTTGTGATGGGGGAAAATGTGTACTAAAGTAAACCAGACAGAATCACAAACCGTACATCCTGTCCCTCCACACCAGGCATCTAGCTACCCCATAGCCCAGTTAGGCCCTTGCTTCTCCCTGGCACTGCTGTCAGTTTGCTCAGCAGAGGGATCCATAATGCTGTCAGCGTGTAGCTCTCTCAGACTGTCAAAGTATGTTTTATCCACTCAGCTCATACATAGTTTTTTAGGACATTCATCCCTGTATTTACACATGCTTTGTCCCTCATGGATTTGTCATGAGATAATAGCTTTGAGCGTCATATCAGAGAGCAACCCAGGTATGAATTTCTCTACTCACGCCAGCCGCTGGAGTGCTGTGTGTGAGGTCTTTTACACACCGTGCCCACACAGAAAACCACACAGAAAACAAACACAGCAAACTTTTTCTTGCTGGGAAAAATAGCACGCCAGCAGCCTCGCCAGCAGAGGGCACTGTCCGACTGCTCCGAGCCGAGAGAGAGAGAGAGGGAGAGAGTTGCATACAGCTCACTTCAGTCAAACAGACGGACAGTTACAGGTTAGCTGTAGTGATGAAGAACATGACCACACACTGCCGACATTCAGAACACAGGATTGGTGACCAGGGATCGACTACCGCCTTATTGTTTAAGATAAGATCTCACTGCACCACCACCACCACCACCACCCTGCACCCACCCACCCTCCCTCCACTCCTCTCCCACTATCATGGCCCACCCTACACATCTGCTCATGAACCAGTATGCATCCACCAATTCCTTTAAGCGTGAAGGGACAGTAGAGATTAGTTTCCCTGTAGAAGCAAGGGGACAGTGTTCTTGCATGCTGGCTTTGTTAATGACAGTGGTGTGCTGCGTGCGTGTGTGCATGCATGCGTGTGTGTTGGTTTGTGTGTGTGTGTGTGTGTGGGGGGGTGTGTGTGTGTGTGTTTGTAAGATCGCTCACCCTGTTATGATAACAAGCTATTGTCTTTCCAAAGGAATAGTCCCTAGGAGTAACTCTTTAACGCTGTTGCCCTGGTGTCAAGGGAACACCTTTCTAGTACCTCAGTAACAGATATTGAATGTACTGTGCATACCCTTTTATTTTTTGTACAGATTTTCTAGATACTTCTTTACTATTCTTTACCAGAAGGGTTGTGAAATTGTAGCAGTAATGATACAATAAAAAAAACCATTGCCCCATGAAATAAATTGACAAAATCTTTTTAGGTTCGCTATCGGTCACTGAATACTCAGGCTTCAAAACCAATGCGTATCTCTTTGCCTTTTACCTTTTTATTTCCTCATTGTGGAAAATTCAGCACAACGCTTTTCCATTCTTAGACTTCAGACTGTAGTTGATGTGTTTCGACCTCCATCTTACTGGCTAATGAAAAATAAGGAAAAACTAAAGTCGGTCGCCGTGGTCTGCTAGTTTTCTTTTACTAGAACAGTAGTAGTAGATGCTGTTTTTTTTGTTTTGTTTTTTACCGCCCCTTCATTGTCAGGCTGCTCTATCTATAGTGCATGTGAGGTAATGTTTTAGGGGAAATACTATTGGCTTAAAGAATTTGTGTCATCTTGCTGTTTCCCTCTGCTCCCCCAGCCTCCCTCCCCCCTCCCCCCCGCTCCTCAGAGTGTTTTCAACCCGAGTTGCCATTTTTGTCGTGGTCAGTTTTCCAGTGATGTACAGTTTTCCCCTCAGAGTCTATGAGAGACACGGAGCATGTCTGTGTCCTGAGATGCTAGGCTCCTCTGTCATGTGATGAGTATATATTTTTAAAAATAACCCCCATAGTTCGGATTATGAGCATAATAGTAATCTTAAATTTTTGCTGTTGATGATGATTATATATATTTTTTTCAGTTCAGCAGTGCACTGTTATGAAAACCATTCTGTTTTATTGTAGGATTTCATTTTTATGGATATGCTGTCTGTGTTCTACATGTTGTACTGAAACATTTCAGAGAAAACAAGAGATCCCTCTCCTGGTGATTTTTTATTTTTATTTTTTATTATTATTTTGTCGTCCCCCTCCCCCCGCCCGCCGTCTTATCCCAACTGTCCTTTCCAGCTATTATCCTCTGGGCCTTACTTATTCTCTCCCTGTAAAAGTAGCTGTTATAGAAAGTCGCCATGGAACCACTCACTGCCTTAATACAGTTGACCACAGCAGGTGAAGTCAGACACACCCAGTTGAAAAGAACCGGCCACAATCAAGGCCGCTTCTCACACCTAAAGTCTGCAGCACCTTGCGTTTCTTTTTTCAGCGATGAACCACATTTAGCCTCGTTTAGACAGTTTGTTTTTAACATGAACACGTAAAATCCAGTGTGAATTCTTACTCTGCATTAGTAAGTAAGGTTGTCTTTTTGTTTTTCTTAATTTTTATTTTTATTATTTTTTTTAAAGTTCAAGTCAGCCCGGCAGTGTGTATGTGCCTAGGCTAACAGATAAGCACAGTGTGTATGCTCACAAAGCCACAGCTGATATTTCACTCTTGGGTGTGAGAATGCCCTCACCCACCCTTTCACCACCAACACCACACTGGGGCTCTAACAGCGTCTTTCATGGTGCTGCCGGAGCCCCAGTGGGGCTGGGAGGGGGAGGGCATAGCGGACACTGGTGTGGTCTGTCAAAAAAAAAAAAAAAAAAAAGCAGAATATTAAGAATCGGTCACTTTTTCTCTCTCAGGGTTCAAATGCACACATATCCTCCAGCAGTCGCCCTCTGTCTCGTGTCCCTCGTCCCAAGTTTTTCCGCCCTCAGAATATAGAACAGCCTCCTGCGTTTTTAGAAACAACTTTCCCCTCGTCTCCCCCTTTCCTCCCCTTTTGTGCACAGGTCTGAACTTTTTTTTGTTTTGCTTTGTTTTGGCACTGACATCTAACCATCTAACAAGGAATGAATGAATGTTTGAAAGTGACTGTGTGTAATGTTAAAATTGGGAAATGTATTTTTACAACATGTGAACGTGTTTTTTTTTTTTTTTTTTTTTTTTTTTTCACTCACTCTCATTGTGAATTGATTTTTTGTTTTTTGTTTTTTTCTTTCACCAGACTGCAAAAACAAACAAAAAAAACAAACAAAAAAAATCTCCTGTAACTAGGCTCTTAAGCTTTATTTTTGTTTTGTTTACTTTTTTATTAGAAACAATCATGTTTGTGATGGTAACTTCCGATGGTAAACTCCACACCGTATTTTAATAAAATCTTAAAAATTAAGCTTGTGCTCAGTTGTTTTTACCTTTTTTATAAATAACAGTATAAGGGTGTAAGGGTTCCTTTAGTGGTCAGTAAGTTGGTGATTACACCTCTGCACATTGAGCTGTGTTTACAGAGATTTTGCCGTCAACAAAATTATTAATTACCACAGTTTGTCAGCTCTTTTATATGGCAGCGAGGGGTTATGCAGTGCCAGAACAGGCACAGCTTTATGAGTGGGCAGGCTAGGTGGGGTGTAACGGGAAAAGGGGGATTCTGTGTAGACCCACAGGGCAGAGAAGGGCGGGGGGGGATTATCAGCCCCAAAATTGCTACCACATGCACATAACCAGGAGCCCTCTCTTAAAATGGACTGCAGGGACTGAAAGCTGAAGTCTACTTACTTGAGAGGCATCATTAGGAGCCTGCTGGCTATAAGGCTGGCATCCTCGTGGGTTAGGGTGCCGTGGAGTCCATCATGGAAGGGTTAGAGATTGATTGTGTTTATTGGCTCTATGAGGTTTTAATTCCCAGTGTGCATCCAGTTACTTTCTTACTGGCAGTAAGACAATGTCACAAATGTTAAATACTCCACCAATTTAGTTCACTCTTATGACGCTTTTAGACTCACGGTTTTGATACAAAAATAGCAAGATAAGGTTATATAAGAAGTCTTTTCCATATATTCTTCTCAAATACTGGTGCCTACATTACCCACAATGCAACCACATCCCCCGAGCTGCTAGCCTCGAGCAGAGATGAGGAGCGGGCTACAGAGGTCTGCTAAACTCACTTCTTCCTGACTCCACATTTTTTTTTTCCGTCTTCAAACTCGTAGTCTTGAGCGCCAACTGGTGCTGACTCAAATGACATCACTTGAGGCAGTTTATCCAACTTCACCCAGCTCCCTCTGGAGCCACAAAAAAGGTTTTATACAACCTTTTTCCACACATGCAGTAGTAACTCCCCAAGATCTGTAAACATACTTGGATGTGTAAAACCAGTGGAGTTCCCCTTTATTGTAGGCTTTTAACTGTGGTTACTTATTTAAGGAGAGTCCACAATATCTTTACTGAAAGTAACGATAAACAGGATTGTGACCATGTCCAAAAATTAAAAAATCATTTTCATAATAACTCCCATCTGGTAAAACCCTCTCATGTTCACTTCTCCTCCCTCCCAACCATTATTATAATTATAATAGATATACTGACTACAGTGGCTTGATAATAAAACACAAAAATACAAGAAAATAAATAGATGATGAATTAAAATAAATAACGTTTAAGTTACTACAACAAGTACAAAGTTAAAGCAAGTGTCCTCACAAACTTATATTTAGTGTTTCAGATTCACACCTCGAGTGCGTGGTTATTGTCTACTGGCACACACATGGGTATTTTACATTTATGACGTGTTTCCTTAAGTAATTCTAATATTTCTCAGGAAGGGAGAGATTTCTTTTAAAATGAAACAAAAACATGTTTTCAGCCACATGGAGGTGGAGGGTGTGTCTTCCTTCTTACACGTTATGGCATTACGTTTATTGCCACCAATAAAGCATCTTTATTAATGCTTTAAGTCCTGAGTCAAGCACGATAAGTCTGGGTAGGTATCAGCTCCTGTGATATTCTAATAAATCCCTATTAAAGGACAAGTTTTGCACAGTCCCAGAATATATATATGAGCACAGTCTCTGTTTTACACCTAGGAGACATTTTAGACATACTGTTTGTTATGGTAAGTCTCTGGTGTAAAGTAGTTACTATGAATGATACCTGCAACAGCTCATGATGGCTGTTAAGAAAAGGACTGAGCCTCTTTATGTATTGATTCCTGTTCACAGTCTGTAAAACAGATGTCCAAGTACTTTTCCCACTTAGCCTTAACTGTTAGACTGCCATTGAGTTGTAAAATTTTAAAGGTTTTAATGGAGTAGGGCGTCCGCCCTGTAGTGAACAAATATAGTGCCTCACCTGTAGGTACTTAGACTGGATACGGTATATCCAACGTGGTGATACGTGGAAAGATTGAAAGATTTTTAGTTTTATTTGATATGTGATATGATTTATAATTATATTTTCCATAAACTTGGATAACATTTTATCTTTCCGGTAGAGGTCATTTTTATCCAGTGTTGGGGAAACTAGTTGGGGGGGGGTTCAGCCTTTAAACATTCAAAGGAACTAGATGTCTCATCATTATAAAGGTCCCCTAAAGTATGTAACACTGTAGCGCTCTGAAAGTTTACCTGTATATCTGTCCAAACTCTAGAGATAGGATTTATGAGAGGATTATCTGTACCTGTTTTTAAAGTGTGATATCTCAATAAAAGGGACACCTGCCAGCTGCATAACACTATGTGCTCGATCTGCTTCCAAGCGGGGAAGCTTGTCAAAATGATTTAGCCAAATCCAGATTGATCTAATTGTGGCCTCCCAGCAATAGAGCTGGAAGCTTCAGGCTTCCTCCTTGATAAGGGTTATTATGTAGTGATTTCCCTCTCTGTGGTTTTCTCCTGCATACAAACCTGGAGATCATAGCTTCTAGTTTCCTAGAAAAAAATTAGATTGGGATGGGGGAGAGTTTTAAATTAATATTGCATCTATCTAAATCATTTTAACCCTCTTAAACTGTATTAGATAGATAGCGATAGATAGATACTTTATATATCCTGAGGGATATTCAAGTATTGTGATGGCTAAAGGCTCAATCACTAAAGAGCACAAAAGGGGGGATAATTGGAGGCGTGCCACAGGATAAGGGAAATGATGATGATGTATCTGTGTTTGTCTGAACTATTGCTGGAGGTATGGTAGACCGTTTTAATTATTCTAATATATAAGGCCAGAAGATAATTTAGATCATAGTACTGCAAAGAGAAAACACCACTGTCAGAGGTCTCTCAGTGCCAAGTGAGAGCTAAATCTGGGTCTTTAATGGGCTTAGTGCTAAACACAATATTGAACAGCATCCTAATGTTGAAAGAGTAGAGGTGGTTTTTAATAAATCCTGCCTGGTATCCCTTTCTTGAGCCTGAGAGCTATAACCTTTGTTAATATCTTATATTCAGATGACAAGACTGAGGTTGGTCTATATGACCCACATAAACTAGGACCCTCCCCTGGTTTTAATAAAAGTATTACTATTACTAAGAGAGACTGCTGCATGGTTTGAGGTAGGCGCTTATTTTCAATTGAATGGTTGGAGAAACCATCTAGTCCCGGGGCTTCAACTCCCAGGAGCCGGGCTGTAGTGAGGCTGACAACAACGAAACCTCCACTGATCAGACATATTGTCATTTGGTTTCGGTAAGACTTATGCTCAGAGACTGTGACAGGATATTCTCTCCCAGCGTGAATAAAAAACAAACATAGAAATCCTAGAGTAACTATTATGGACAGATGAGTAGGAATAGTCTATTAATAGCTCCATTGGTGTCTCACCTTCCACATGTCTACTAAAATAAGATGTGAAATTTCTTTTTTAAGAGCCCTAGCTGCAAAGGATAAGGGTCTTTACCTGAATCCAAAACAAAATTAAAGTCCCGTCCAGCTATAAACTCTGTGTGACAACGTAAACTTCAGACAAATGGTAATAAAGAAGTTTGGATAGTTCTGATTTGGACCCTGTGCTATGCAGCTATTGGCTCATGTGCCGGGTCTTTTTTTAAATCTTTTTTTTTTTATCATGTGGTGGAAAGAAAATGTTCTGCACTAGCATTCATATGGTGACGTTTAGCAGGTTTAATGGTAACCTTTATTTCAGTTTAGCATATTAGCATGCTAACATTTGGTGCAATAAATAGCACTAATAGAAAGTACAGCTGAGACTGACTGGAATGTCATGAGCTTCCCAGGTTGTTGGTTAAGTATTGAACAAATTGAATGATGTGATGCAGTAGTGGCATATAGCAGGTTGAACTAACTGAACACTGTTCGCGTTTGTATTTGACAAGCTGGGAATGAGAACGGGCTGTGTGGTGTGTAGGAGGAACTACAGGGGTCATGAAACTTGTGAAAAACACGAAAGGCCCTGCTGCTACAGCCACTGTTAGGTTTGTCCGTTCTGAGCTAACGTAGAACGGTTCAACATGGTGGACTCCACAAAAGGCGACCGGCGATGTCTGTAGATAAAAACGTCTCATTTATCCTCTGGAGACCGTGACCTTTGTATAAAATTCCTGTCAATTCAATAGTTTTCCAGGGCTGTCCAGTTGACTTATTGATTTACCCTTATAGTTATCCAGTCCTTTAAATGTCATTATGGAAACTTGGAACTGGAGGCCAATATACATACTGCTACTGTGCTGACTCTCTACTGAGGCACAGGCCATATTACATAACAGCATGTGTTGTTGAAGGAGGCCCAGGATGCCGAGCAGTATTTTAACAGACCTGATTCACACACACTTCAAACACACCTAGGCTTGTTGCTTCCTATGTCCCGCTCAAGATTGTGCAACAGAGTGCAGCAGAGCATCATCCACCTCACCCAGTGCCATACATTACCCCTGTCAGGCCCCACGCTGGGCTGCCAGATTTTTTTTATTTGTTTGTTTAGTTCAAGAGGAGGAGGAGGGGTGCTTGAAACCCTCACTGATTTCAAAAGGTTTGGGAACGCTGGTCAAACCAGTAAAATGGGGGTACTGGTTCCCGCTCTGCTGCTGGGTCAGTACCTTCAGTAAACTGCTCAGTCAGACGAGTCATCCTGCTTAGGTAACACACTCAAAGTGGGTCAGAGGTCACACAAGAGCCTTTAACTGAGGTCCAGAGATGAGAACATCAACGAGTGAAGTATGAGTCTTGGTGGGGAGAAAGAAGAGCAGTGTGACAGATCAGGATGTGTGTGTGAGAGAGAAAGGCCGTATATGTGCATACATGTCTGTGTGATGAATTAGTCTCCAGACAGATGAACTATCCCACTTGGAGGGATCGTACTACCAACCGTGAAGCCGAGTGGATAAATATTTGTCTTCGGTTGTCTTTGGAATTATTACATATTATTCCAGCCACAGAATGACTCAGACGTTGAATCAGACTGCACCGGCCTTGTTTTCCTTTTTAAAAGAAACTGCGTGGGGCGATGGTCGCTTGGTTCTGGATTCATCAACTTTGGTCGAAAACAAAAAAATCGACCTGCCAAAAAATTCATCAAGGACCATCATCAAGTCATAATTTTAATTTGTCCAATATGATAAACATGGTAAACATTATACCCTCTAAACATCAGCATGTTGGCATTGTGCTAATGCTCTGTCTGCCACTTGTACGGCTGTAGACATTATTAAACTTTGCACCCAGCGGCCACTTTATTAGGTACGCCTGTACGGTCTTATGCAATTCAATACCACAGCTTACAGCTTCTTTTATGCTGTGATAGAGGAGTTAATTCAACTGTATGATTTAGCATTGAGGTCATAGTTGTTGGTCGTGTTGAGGTGTTTCAAATATCGTGAGAGGGTGGATGAAATAATTTAGAAACATCTGTCAATGTGAGGTAGTTCAGTACAACACCGCCTTTAAGTATTATATCTTTAACTTAATAAACATCAAATCGAATTTAGACATTTCTGACTCTGTTGACAAAAACTGAATGTTATAAACTTTATATTATATTTTAGCACAACACACAGTCAACATTATCCATCTGTTCCTAATGCTGCTCTTTCCTCATGTCTGTCAGTCTTAGGGGTCTGCAGGGTTTGCGGCGGTGAAGCAGAGACACTGGAGCTAGTATGGCCCCAGCCCAGCGCTCTGTGATTAGCTCATGGTTTTCCTCTCATTTCTTCACTCACTTGGCTCGTGTAACATTGACGTGAGCATGTGATTGACAGGGAGAAAACTTTCAGCTATCTTGGAGATTTGCGTCAGTCAGGCAAAACCTGCAGCCGTTCTGCTGCTGTATCTGGTGTCCTAATGCTAACCCTGCGTGTGTGCGTGTGTGTGTGCTGCAGAGTGCGGTTTAACTTTAAACTATGGATGTCTGTGTTCTAGTAATCAAAATAATCATCAGTTCCCGCATAGGTTTGCAGACCTAAACGTCAATTGCCGTATGTGCCAGCGTGAGTTCACATTTCAAAAGATTTTGTGTGTGCAGTGTGTGCTCACACAAACGCACACCTGTGTATTTGACAGTGTGTCAATGACGTTTCACATTAACGTGAGTCAATCTGGCGGCTGAGCTCACTGTCATTAATCAGAGGGCAGCAGCGGGGAAGTCTGGGTTTTTCCCGTAACCTACTTTCAACTGTAGAGACAGACAGACAGATAGATAGATAGATAGATAGATAGATAGATAGATAGATAGATAGATAGATAGATAGATAGATAAAGTAACTGTTTTGGAGACAAACAGGGCGGAAAGAGATGGAGAGGAATGAAGGAAGAAAGCAAAAAACAGATGGGCAGAGGGTGTAATTGTTTACTTGATTTTTTATGACTGCAACACACAAAATCCAAATTGTTACCTGATCCACATCTAACCCCACTCCCCCTCTTCCTCCGTCTGCTCCTTTTCGCTCCCCTTGTTCCTGGAAGGTTCACAGGCGAGCCAGTGACGTGGCCAAGTCGGTTTAAAAAGGTCTGCAGTTATCCAATTGCAGTTTCCTTTTGGGTCTGGGTAATGTTAGCCAGGTCGAGTTGATAAAAGATTTAGAGACAAGCGGTACCTAATCCATGTTAGATCAAAGTCCTGACCAGAATGTGTTTGATTGTTCAATGAAATATAGGCTGACTGCTTTGTTGCGTCACAGCCATCGATAACAACCAGGAAGGTAACAAAAATTCCTAGAGATTTCACTTACTCGCACAAGAACACATGCGGCCTTGTTTAGTCTGAGCTTTGACATGTAAAGAAGTGAGTGGTGGCCGGTCACAGAAACCTCCCTGGTTGTCCATGTGTGTACCAGCTGTGGAAACCGGTGACCACACATCTCTGACACACACACACACACACACACACACACACACACACACACATACACACACACACACACACACGCCCTGACCCGAGGAAAAGGGGTTCCTTGGCTGAGATCACAGCTGGATCTGCCACAGGACAGAAGAACTATCTGAAAGGGGGGGGAGACCATTTAAAACCCTTTGATTTTCTACAATGTCCAATCAGTTAATTAACTGCAGAAAAAAAGCCTGTGCTTCTGTCCAGCGTCTGTTATCCAGGTTGCATGTCTGTGCGTAAGCCCCATTCCTCATTTCTCTCCTTCTATGTTACTCCCATTATTCAGCAACTTACACCTCTCATGTATGATAGAGTGGGCTGAAGAACAGGCGAAGGAAAATACACAATGCTGAGTGGTGTATGTTAAGAAAGGCCAATGTGGTGTTGATTACCTTGTCAGCAATGAGGTTGCTGAGTTTACACAGCCACCGAAAGACGAGAGAGAAAGATAGAGGGAGAGAAGAGAGGGACAGTGGAGGAGAGGAGTGAGGCTGTTAACTGCCTTTCCATACAAGGAGAGGTAGGGGGAGAAAAGTGGAGGAGGGGGAGGAGAAAGCGAGAGACAGCAAGAGAAAGTGAGAGAGAGAGAGAGAGAGAGAGAGAGGAGGGTAATATGAGGAGATACAATGAAAGAGAGAGAGAGAGAGAGAGAGAGAGAAAGGAGGAGGAGAGAAATCTGGAAAGAGAGATAAAGACAGAAGGATAAAGGCTGATAAGGCTGTGCCGGCCCGCGGGTTACAGTGGAGAGTAAGAGAGGAGAAGAAGTGAGAGAGTGACTGGAGCTATATCCTCTCCGTGGTCCCAACTGTGTGATTCTGCTGCAGCTTCTCTCTGTCACTGACTGATCCAACACAGGTAGGACACACACTGAGCCTCCATTCATTCTCCACAGCACCACAGTCCGAGAGGACGAACACACGTGTTTTTTTTTTTTAGCCATTTGACACCCAGTAAGCTTCTCTTTACCTTGGGAAACAGCGGCAGAAATTACTCAAGTAAAAGAAGCAATATCACAGTGCAAAGATACTCCATTACAAGTAAAAGTTATGCATTCAAAATGTTGATTAAGTAAAGGTATGTTATTATGAATATAGAATTATTGCCTGAAAGATATACAGTATCAAAGTTACTAAGAGTGGTAATTTTCAGGGTGTTGGGGATGGGATTATTAAGACTGGTTCATGAACATTTTCAGCATTTTAATGTTTGATGCAGCTGTTCGGCAGCAGGAAAAAAAAAAGGTATTTTCTTCCACTTTAGACAATGTTTTCATACTACGAATCGGTACACTGATGTGTTGAATAACTTTATCTATATTGGGTTTTTTGCATATATTTGCACATTTTCATCAGTAGTTGCTTCACCTAATTGGTGCAATCTATATAGTGTACAGGTATACACATGCACTGTCCATCCTCACTGATCTTTCTGCTGAAAATGTGGCTTTAATTAAGATTTCAGGCAAACCAAAATCTGCATGCCCTCCGCCCTTTTCTCTGTCTAAACTGCTACCTAAACTGTCATGATTTACCCTCCGCCTGCATGAGAAACAGTCAAGTTTCTGACCTCCTGTTGGGATGCATGCCCTGCTGAGTGTCTGTCTGTGTTTCTGTGCAAATGCATCAAGGTGAAATGGTACAGACAGATATGTGCACTTTATGCAGGAGTGTGTAAAAAGGCTAAGATAGAGTGATGCATCTCTTTTCTTGGCACAAACTCCTGGACAAAAGATTTTGGAGAAAAAAAAGGCTAATTACCGACCCGCCATCCCCTTGTTTAAAATGAACATACCTCCCGCTGTGTGCACAAATCTTTGCTTGCGCTTGCATACCTGCATGCCTGTGTATATGAGCTGAGCTGGATGTGTGTATTATCTCTGCATGAGTCTGCTGTAATTACACTGTGAAGGTGCCCACAGGGCGGCAGCCGCTACATTTGGCTCCGCACCACATCCCCTCATTTTATTGTGTCTTGTGCCTGACAGAAAAACTGCTGTGTGTCTGTCTTTGTTGACTGATGAGAGCCGAGTGTGATGCAAACGCATACGTATGTGAGAGTGTAAACGATATATCAACTGAAAATAAGTGTGTATGCATGTTCCTGTTTTTTATATCTGTATTTATTTCACTCAAATGTTGCTGTGACAAGTGAATTTCCCCATTGTGGGATTAATAAAGTTATCTATCTACCTATCAATAAATACCATACAGCCTTTTACTGCTGCATGTGTTTTCAGGAGCAGCAGTAGACGTCAGCTAACAGCAGGTCTGTGTGTGTGTGCTGACTGATACAGTGCTGTGTGTCAGTGTGGGAATTCAAGAAATGTCTCTTCAGTGTGTTATAGTGTCAGTGTGACAAGTTCAGGGGGAAGGGTCTACTGAACCAAGGTCTCAGTGTAGAATAGGGTCATTTGATTAATGGTTGTTATAGCAACAGAGATGACATGACAGCTACTAACAGACACACTGAAATATGTAATTTCTAAAATACAAAGATCACGATCAATGTGTTGCTGTGAGTTTCCAGTTAAAATGTTGATCTTCTTTGTCTGGAATGTGTGTGTGTGTGTGTGTGTGTGTGTGTGTGTGTGTGTGTGTGTGTGTGTGTGTGTGTGTGTGTGTGTAAAAAGACAGGAAAATCAGGTAACTGTTTGCAACAGCCTGTGACAGGACTGACCTCCTTTTCTATACTAAACATAGAGGACAGAGCAGCCAGGACAGTTGCAGTTAAGATCACATACTGATGTGAAAAACCTCCAGCTCCAGGTGGTGAACTTCCATTAACCCGCGCACACAGAGCTTGATCACAAGTATAAAAAAAAAAAAACGCTTTATTATCAGTCTGGAAGTAGTATTATGTCGTTTTTCCTGTTACTTTTTGGAACTAGCTGCGTGCTTAAGCATCTCAACCTGGAGCTTTATCTGCCTCCTGCAGAGCAGCAAAGTTGCAGCCAGTGAGGTGATCAGATGACTGAGCAGTGAGATCAAAGCTGGGCTCTGTGTGTCTCCATACTCAAGGTATTTTTATGGCTGGCTGTTAAACTGTGCAGTGGTTAATATACATTTAATGGAGACAGTGAATTGATAAAACACTCACATATAAGGCTGCGGTCAGAAAAGTGTTAGAGTTGGAGTTTTGCAGCTATATTGGCAGAGTAATACTATCTGACCTCTGGAAATAGACTTCAGGGACAATGTGCAGCAGGACATGAGTGTTATGTGCGTCGGTGTGTGTGTGTGTGTGTGTGTGTGTGTGTGTGTGTGTGTGTGTGTGTGTGTGTGCGTTTGGGTGCATGTGTGTGTGTTTGTACACTAGTCGACTTGCCCAAATTTAACTGTCTGCATTCTGCAGCTGCTTGGAGGTTTAGTTATAGTATAGTAACCCATAGAAACGCCACACAAGGCTGCAGCCACAAAACATCATTCTCCCCTTGTGTAACACGCAAAGAGAGAAATTCATCTGTCATCAAGTCATAAACTGTCACCCTCAAAGTTAAAACATCTGTCAGTTAAACGGGAAATAGGGGAAATAACATCACTTTTATGCAGTTTATTCTCAGCCTAGTAGTGTTTAATTAGAATACTTTTTAAAGACATTCAGTGAAAGTGTCTGCAAATTGGAAAAAGACCTATCACATCATTATTTATTAAATCTGTATTAAATTAAGAGATTGGGTGTAGAAAGCAGAGAGGAGGATGAGGTGGAAGGATGTGTGTTTAGAGGTGAAGAGCGGGCTGGTGCAGAGAGAAGAAGCAGTGTGCCTCTGATTTACATTCAGCTCCAGGAGCGTTGTTAGAAATCCGCCCACTGTCAGCAAGCGAAGACTCGACTCTTCAGCCCAACACAATGAAATGTAAGGCTGAAATGTGGTTTTGAGCAATTATGATGCACGTGCCCTCCTCACCTCTCTTCATGGTCTGACTCAGCAGCTGGTGGTCAGTGGATGGTCAGTCAGTGAGGTCAGTAGAGCAGCACAGCAGACAGGATTTGCTTTTGTCCTCAGAGATGTCATCCATGTTGTTTTATTTTAGGCCAGCTCCTGTGGCAGACATTACCGTGACAGCGATGAATGTTAACCGTTTTGCCGTGTAGCCACAGGTTGGCTGCGAACCAACACACTCGGCCCGGCCCAGGGGAATGGGAGGACTTTTCAATCGAAGGCTCCAGGGTCAATGGGTTCAATAAGCTTTGTTCCTCGATAAAATGTACATGTTGTGATATGAGGGCAGGGATGTGGAATTTCCCCCCTTATACTGATTTTCCAGGATTGTCTGGGTTTGGTTTCCTAAATGTCCATCCATTCGTTTGCTTGGTGATTGACAAACATTACGTGCCGCTGCCAAAGAACTTCTTCTTTAGAGGCTTCTTCTTTAAAATGTGCCGCACGTTTAGTGATACTCAAGAAAACTCAAGAATAAGAGCAACATTATCTGTATTTGTGGCAAGGAACCCAAACAATTTGATACATCTTTACCACGGGAGAGGAATATACTTACACAACCACTTTTCATTTCTTCATTTCTTTCAGATGATGTCATTACAGCACCTGACCTGTGGTTGGCTGCAGCAGCTCCTCGTTGTGCTTCTGAAGCTTTGCCTCGCTTTTGCTGGGCCTTTGCGACCACTCAACGGGACAGAATGCACAGCCAAGGGTCCTGCTTCCTACATCCTGGTCTTTACAGGTCACTGGAGCCCACAGGCCTTCCCCAAGCAGTATCCACTGTTCCGGCCCCCTGCACAGTGGTCCAAACTCATAGGTGAGAAAGCCTTCTAGGGACTAAGAAATTGGTTGTGGGAAAACCAATAATTTCTTCTGGAAAATTTGACCTCTAACGCCTGAAAATACGTTGAATTTTGACTATTTCAGACTTGCAACGGCAGCGAGGAGTCAGGGGTTATTTTAGTTCACCTCCCTCACTCAAAATGGTGACTGCTTTCAGATGAAGGGTCACCTAAAGACATAATTTATGCTTTCCATCTTGTGTCAGATGTTTAGGGCCTCATTGTCAGCATACGCCCATGCACACAGACACATACACAGGGATGGGAGATGTTAATGAGCAAAACAGCAAGAAGCTGAGAGCAATAAGAAGACCGTCTAAATGCTACCAGATGGGGTTTTTCTCTCTAACTTCTGTCCAACGATATCTTTAATATTTCTCTATTTCTTCAACTCAATCCTGCACTCCATCCCACATTTCCGCTGGTTTACCACAGTGTTGGCGGTAAACACTGGAGAAGAGGTTTTCGGGGGTTGGTGAAGGTGGGTGATGATAGTTGGGGTGTGGTGGGGTCAGACCGCTACCTCAGAGCCAGGAGGAGGAGAAGAAGCAATTCCCCTCTTTTTTTTCCCAAGCCATGGAGCATGGGATGGATGGCAGATGCTCGTACATATGTGTGCATGTATGCGTGTGTGTGTTGGACTGTTCTTGTGCATCACTGTCTGTGGCTTTGTCTGGTTTCCAGCTCTCTCACTGGTGCCCTGCTGCCCTGCCAGAGGGTGATGGCCTACTTACTTCATATAGAGACAGGCACCAGAGATTGAGACACACCCATAATGGCTTTTAATGTCTCTGGGCACCGGTGATTGGGGAGGCGGAGGGGGGGGCACAAGGGCCTCAATGAGCTGACAGTCTGGTAGAGGACAAAAAGAACATTGGAAATAGAGTTTGTCACAGCACAAAGAAAAGCATAACCTGTCGAGGGGTTTGGGGGCCTGCGTTGGTTTTGAGTTGCTTTGTTGTGGAGACCTGGGGGTAAGGGACCAAGGACACTGCCAGAAGATAGAGGGAATGGAGTTTGTCTTGGCCAAAGAAAAAAAACGAGCAATTAAGGAAGGGCGGGAAGTGGGCTTTGACGTCTTGGTGGGGCTTAAACGTGATGCGTTATCGAGTTTCAAGGTCTTGATGCTTGTGGGAAATTTGTTAGGATGGAAATGCAATTAAGTGCATAAGTAATGGCAGTTTGGGGAGAAACAAGATAGTGTGTGAAGTGTGCTGGGTAGGTTGTGTGTGTGGCTCAGTGCGGTGTGTGTGTTAATACATGTGTCAAGAGTGTTTAAGTATAAATGCACAGTTGTGTATGTGTGCCTGTACGCAGCTCTGAAAAGTGAGGTAAGGCAGAACCATCAGAGCATTTGTCAGCGTGTTTCTGGCTAACCTTACTCTGCCCTTAAAACCACTGGCCCAGGCCAGTGGCTCTGTGGGTTTCAATACGGAGCTCCAGAACCTGTGGTACAAACAGTTTAACCTAAATCAGTCTCTTCATTCTCAACAGATTTCATAGATAACCAGAACTAAATATAAGAATGTGAAGAAAATGGTTCTGTTGACCCGAAGGGTATGAAAAAGTATCAAGAAGGGATTTCAAAATTGTTTTAAAAATAAAAGATTGTCCACCATCTAGCTGCTGACTCCGAGATCCTGACCTATCTCCTGGCAGCTTCAGCTTGTGGTGTGGTTTTATCGGTGATAGATGGAGAAACTATGTAACTATAACCGTACAATAATGCCAAAGACATGCATGTGGGCAATTCCTTCAGAATTATCTGTTTAATTGCAGGACGTAGGAGGCAGCCATTGAAATACATACAGGCTCCATGGTGGAAATGATCTCACCGTCTGGCTGAGGCTCTGTGGTGTTTCATCGACATTGATATGCATTCCAGTGAATAGGCATCTTACTCCTGTCTTCTCCTCCTTCTTGTGTTTCTTTTCTCCCTTTAGCGGTCAGCCATAATCGCCATTTTCGGCTGTGGGAGGAGGGTGCTCCAGCTAGTGCAGGGGTGCAGAGCTTCGCTGAAGTCGGGGTGACGGTGGAGCTGATGAAGGCAGCCAAGGAGGCCAGGAAGAGACGTACTGTCGGCGCCATGTACCGAACGGCCGGCATCCCTAACGGCATTGGGCACAGCTCCACAGAGTTGCTCATGCAGCCCCGGAGTTCACTGGTAGGCACAAATAAAACTTAAGTGGAAGCAATACTCATTCACAAAAGGACACACATGCTCAGACGCAGTAAGTCACACAAACCGTCTGTTTGACTCAGTCTATTCAGTCATATGGTGACCTGGCCCTTCATATAACATTGTGCATCCGCTCTGACCAAACATTTCACCACTTCTTTCCACTATCCAATCAGACTATGTTTAGCCTGAGTGCTGAAGCCCTGCAGCCACAAACGCCCACATCCATCCTGCGCAGTCTGCACTCTGTCTGCTGCCTGTCCCACTGAACTCTGTGAGCTCAGGGATGAGGGGCCCGGGATGAAGTTTAGTAAAAGGAATAGTTTTTAGACAATTTGAGAAACACGTTCATTCACTTTCTTGCCAAGAGTTAAAGGAGAAGACTAACACTGCTCTCATGTCTGTACAGTAAATGTGAAGCTACAGCACAGCAGCAAGTTAGCTTAGCTTAGCAGAAAGACTGGAAACAGCGAGCCTGGTAACACAATCTGCCTCACTAATTAACATATTATATCTTGTTTCTTTTTCTGTACAAAGAACAAAGTAAACTGTAAACCTTCTTCCTCACCATACCGGCCTTGAAGTGATCCGTTCCTTGCGTGCAAAACTGCATTCTGACGTTCAGCCGAAGCTAATATAAGGCTTCAGCAGTTTGAGTCAAGTGGATATTTTCCAGGGTTATTTTAGTGCAAACTTCCCTTTGTGTTACAATCCATTTGGATCTGTTCCTATTTGGCACTAAAACGACTAAAACTGCGTGTAAGATATCTATTTGATTTGGCAAACTCAGACTCTTGAAGCCCCACATTACCCCATATTTAAGGCTGATAAATGGGCTGATAAATGTGGGCTGATGTTGGGTTGCAGGTTCAGTGTCCATTATTGGACAAAAGGGTACCACTGCTGCTGAATAGTGAGTGAGGTTATGAAGCAAAGGGTCATGGTCTGGCTAAATTTGGGCTTGGGGCTTAAACAAAGGCAAGGATTTGAGGTAGGAATGAAAGTATGGCGCGGTGGAAAAATGTGTCACACCATTTTACACAGTTAAACCTAGAAATAAAGTATTCCTTTATGTGTAAAGCATATGTACTGTAGCTGATGAATGAGAGGGAAAGAGGTGAAGAGGAAGGGCGGACGTTTATTGGAGCTTTTAGAAATAGGTGTGTGCCTGCCTTAAAGTCTGGTGACCTACATTTGTTTATTGGTTATTCCACTGCCTGAACCTGAGGGCCCTTAAAAATCATAAACAACCCTGACGGAGGGCATCTTTGGTAAGTACCTGTCATGGACAGCAGCTTAACAGCTTGTCAACTAGGTATATGATGTCTGGGGCTGCTTTTAAATGGGTCTGTCTGTTTTTAGATCAGTGGACAGTGTTGTGTGCTGAACGTGACAAAGACAGACTGAATGACGTGATTCTGTCGACAGCTTAATCTGTTATACTGCTTTTGTCTCTCTCGCACACTAATATAGAAATCCCATCCCATCTTGCCCACAAACCAAAACAATCATACGCAATGCACCAAAAATCCCAAACACATATGATTCCTATCTCCATATTCATGAGCCTCCTGCTATTGCTGTTAAATGTGTAATTCAAAACAGACAGATAGATCCAAATATCTACCAATTCGGGATCCAAGTGGCATTATTCTTAAACATTCTGCATTTTGTGAGATCAGTAGCACCAGGGACAACTACTGAGCATTAAGGTGCTTGTGCATCTGGACTGAGTTGCATGTTTTCGAGGACGGTTCGTTCTCTCTGGGGCTCTGTGGAAGATTTGCTGTGATGGAGAAAAAGTGAAAGGGATCATGGGAGCTTTGCGTAACTGTCTGCGCTTTAGAGATACTTCTTGGCCTGAAAAAACCAAACCAAACCACCACGGACTGATCAAGCCGGTGACGAGGGATACCCCTGAGCAGACATCCTTGCGGAGTGGCCCAATGGATATAGCAGGACGGGGCTTTCTTGGAAAAACCGCTGTTTGAAAGGAGGCTGAAAAGGACAAGAGGAGGGAGGAGAGCAGAGGAGGGAAGAAAGGAAGGAAGGAAGGAAGGGGATCAGTGGAGGATTCTGAAAAGCAACAGAGCTGCTTCTGATTTGGTTTCTCTGTTTCTCGCCGTGCGTCACAGGCAAGAAAACAGACCCCGTGTGTCATGCTGACACTACCTGCCTCCTGTCCCGAGTGGTCTGTTCCGCCTGGTGCACTGGTTTGATGTCTGTTCCAGCGCTCTTCAATCCAGCAGTGCTCTATCTGACTCCAGGCCACCCGTTTCTAGCCATCCAAAAGCTGTCCAAGCCCACCCACCCTACCCTGAGCCTTAGCAGCTCAGCCCAAGGTCCTCAAATATCGGGCCGCAAATGAGGAGGCGTTTTCAAATGTGCTGTTTTCTGGGTGTCTGCCACCTCAGCGTGTGCTGACCCCCAGGCCACTTCCTGTATGAGGTCACCAGCTCTCAGGAAACATCCATCACACAGGAGACAAAGTCTATCCCTGCACAGGAAACTGAGTGGGTGCATGCATGTGCACACATGCAGTCCCCAGATCCCCCCATTTATAAATGACAGAGTTTATAAATCCTGACATCAACAGTGTGTGTGTGTGTGTGTGTGTGTGTGTGTGTGTGTGTGTGTGTGTGTGTGTTCATGCGTATATCTCACTATTATTCATTTAACTTAATTTATTCTACACACAGTGCAGTATATCAGACATGGGGCAGAATAACACAACTTTATCGGGTAATCAAGTCTGATTGATTGTTTTTTTTATTATTATTAATTTGATCTTCTTTTTTCTTCCCCCGCAAAAAAAAAAACTGTTTGTACTCCAGAGGGCTGCAGTTTGACTTTTGACTTGAGCCAGAAAATGATCACAGCTGTGCTTTCTGGGTCTATTTGATTGTAACTTTTCTCCTCTTGTGAATTAAGTATTTCATTGCGTTTTTTTCTTTGTAGTTTCGTTTACAGCTGACAAAGCAAAGAAAAACAACTCATCAGTGCAATATCAAGACTCACAATTATCTTGGGAAAAGAACAAAATATATGCCTTAGAGTTTATTGCTTTTAGGTATATGAAGAAAGAAGAAGACAAACAAAGCTACTACTTGCTACAGTTGCGTGTTGAGATACTTCAGTCTGTACTTCAGGACCAAAGTGGTGGACATTGCCAGACATCCGTCCTCTTAAAAGCACTTATCTGCTTTGGATTTATGAGCCATTGACTTAATTTTTCAATAAATAATTGATCTTATCAAGTAATTTTGGTCTACAATACATTAAATATGAGTACATAATTGGTGTATTTCTTTTGTGTAATTGTGCTTTTTTTTGTCTATACTCTAATCTGAACTAACAGCATTATCTCTCTCTCTGATTGACAGTTGTCCCTGATGGTGAAGATGATCCCCAGCCCCGACTGGTTCGTCGGTGTGGACACCCTAAACCTTTGTGAGGGCAGCCAGTGGAAACAGGAAGTGAACATTGACCTCCAGCCTTATGATGCAGGGACAGACAGTGGATTCACTTTCTCATCACCAAACTTCCCAACCAGCCCACCAGAAAACATCACAAAGGTGAGCTCTTGCAATGTTCACAAGTACAAAAACTATAATTCGTTTATACGTTGATTCATTTAGTCATCTGTGCATTCATTCCAAAGACAAAGCAAGGCGGATGACCCTCGTATTATACTTAAAATAGTTAAGCAGCGTGGTTATGGAGCATCATTCTTAGCTGCTTGGCGGCTCTCTAACATGACTTAGACAGATGGTGTGCTACATAGAACCAACTGGAGAGCTTGGAAAAGGGCAGGCACTTTTAAATAAAACTTGGCATCTGATTAAATGAACCATCTGTCTATCACCATTTATCACAGGTGAACATCAATCAATCAGATCAACAAACCATATAATGTAGTCAAACTCATACTGAAGCCAGTCGGGAGAAGAGCGGAAGCATCTTTTCTATCGAGAAAAGCCTTAAAGGTCCAGTGTGTAACATTTAGGAGGATCTACTGGTAGAAATATAATAAATATAATAATATCATACAATAAATGAGCCTTTATATCTACAGCAGTGCTGGTCACCTTCCATGGAGGCTGCCATGTTGAACAGTAGCCCAACAGGGACAAGCCAAACACTGGCTCTAGATAGGGCTGTTCACGTCTTTCACACGGTTAGCAGCCACCATAGTTTCTCCTTTGCATTTGGAAGGGGGGAGTGAAGCGAGGGAGTTGCAATCCACAACTGATCCCACTAATGCTTACACGCTGGTCCTTAAAGTGCCATTCTTTGCTCTTCCTTCAATTAAGGAATAATGCTAACAGCTCATGCTGTAGCAGCCAGTAGTTCCTCAGAGGATGCTGATTGGTCCGATAACACTGTACCGGCCACAACCGATTGAAGCCTGGCAACATGGATTCTCACCTGATATTGTGATTCTGTGATCTCATGAGTCTAACTGCCTCGCATATGAAATTATTTGAGTAAAAAAAAGGGCCTCTCTTACATAACAGACCATCTATCCTTTCCAAGGCATGTGTTTTAAAGTTGGCTATTGCACATTTGAGGTTTGTTGAGATTCTGCTGGCTCTCCTGAATGAATTATGCCTGACTGTTCTTTGCTGACTTCAGATCACATCTCAGATGCCGAACCATCCAGCCAACTCCTTCTACTATCCACGGATAGAGGAGCTTCCACCTATTGCCAGCATAAGGATCACTCGACAGAGCAGATCACCTGACCGTCAAACCCCAATGTCCAATCATATTCTGCCAAACTCTATCATTCCCCAGCGCTTCTCAGGTAAGACCGCAGGATCAGTCGGGCCTAAACATTTTACCTGGAAGGATAAGCTCTACTTAAAACAGTTCTACACAACGTAGAGCTGCTACGAGCACAGGCTAATAGAAACAGCCCTTGTTTCTGCAGATTTTTTTTTACTTCTAACGTCTTTCTGTCTTTACTCACTTTCCCTCTCTCTTTCCCCTCCATGCAGCGACACCACTGGACTGTGAAGTGTCTTTCTGGTCTTCCTGGGGTTTGTGTCTGGGCCCCTGCTCCAGAGGTGGTGTCCGCCACCGCACACGTTACATCCTCTTGCGGCCGGCCAATGCTGGCATCCCCTGCCCTGAGCTGGAGGAACAGGCTGAGTGCGTATCACACAGCTGTATGAGACTCCAGTAACACGCACAAGCACAGATACTGCCAGTATTCAACACTGGGACTCTCATGTTATTACTGCTGGACTGAGAAATGTTGCTGCATCATTTACTTGATAACAAAATGGATTTTTGTCACAATCAAATTGTGAAAATTTAAAGAGACCGTTTGGATTTTTTTTAAGTGGGGTTGTATGACGTACGTATCCATAGTCAGTGTATAGATGGCACTCAGCATGTCCCTAGTTTGAAGAAGCATACAGGAATATCAGCATGGAAGCTAAGGAAAGCACTGCTGTGGACGGGCTCAGCAATAAAACATATTTTAGCTGCCTAAAAAAGGCCCACCTAAAAGAGAAAAAAAACAATGTCAGGTTGAATGTAGGCTTTATTTAGAATATTTTCACTGCTATACCTTACCACCGTCAGACAGACCTTTCCAACTGGAAACAGAAAATGAAGTGAGCAGAGTCTGGTGGCTTTAAGGAGAGATATATGATGGCTTCAGTTTCCAATTGGAAATCAATGTCTGAAGGCAAGATAAAGTGGTCAAAATATTCTACATATAGCGTAGTTTAGTTGGCTAAAATATATTTTTCTACTGACCCCATCTACAGCAGTGCATTGCTTAGCTTCCATGCTGCCTCTCCAAACTGGGGGCGCGCTGACTGCCATCTACTGTAGGTAATACAACTCAAAAATGGCAACTATCCCTTTAATACTTGCTGCATTACTTGTGCTGTCCGTTTAGAATTAGACTCCTCTTGGTGTGTTTTTATGGCAATAAAGGGAAACTGAAGTCTGGGTGTAGCAGAGCATTGGACAGTCATTAATGTTTTAGACAACACTTTTTTATAAATTGTTGCTGATGCAGAAAAGACAAACTGAGAGGAAGATTTACAACAAATGTGTCCCCCTCAAAGATCTATAAGAGCATTTAATCTGTACGCACACCAGAGTGACACATCTTCACACACACACTGTTACATGTATGCACACATGTGCACACAGAATACCGCACACAAAAGTCCTTGCACATACTGCATACTTTTACAGGCACGGAGGCATTACTTTACGTTGGTAACCTATACATGCTTGGCACATGCAGCTCTTTCAAAATAACCCCACACCCCGATTTATAAATATCACCTTTCATAAGAAACACTGTCAGAAATGCTGACTTGAGGCTTAGAGCCAGTCTGAAGGAGCTGGCCTATTTTATAATAAGATGCAGGTTTTTTTATAGAAAGAAAAATAAATATTTGTATTATTATCTCTTGATATTTTAATGTTGATTTTGTATATAATGTATGATGTATCTTATCTTGTATAACTCCTGAATAAATATGGAGGTGTGTTTTTCAAATAGAACAATGTCTGTGTTACTTTGTTCCCCTGCACGGCTTGTGTTATGAAAGTGTTATTATGTGTATATTTAAAACTCCAGTGAGACCAAAGAACATTCTTGATTTGCACAGTTCCCGTAATACATGATGAAGTCAACTTATTTCTGTATGCCAGAGCATAATTTGACCAGTATTGACACTTCTTTATTTGTATCCAAAGAACTCACAGCCCAAAAGCAAAAATACACAGCCATAAATATCACAGTATGAGAAGGTTACGATGCCTTATATTCACCAAAATAGAAGTCACAGTTCTACATATTTATAGATTAAAATTACATGTATTCCACATTATTTCTCTGTCCTAAACATTGTGAAGTTCTTCATGGCCCCAGGCTATTTTCTTTGTAGTATTTGCATAAATAAATGTAAATATAAACTGTTTTACTGATAGAAATGATCAGTAGTCACTCTGGCAGAACATCCTCTAGAAATACTGACTCCCCACTGCACTGCATCGAAGAGTTTGTGGCAGTGTAGCATCTCCTAGTGGTCACAAGCAGCAACAACAACAATACTACTACTACAACTACAACTACTACTAATGAAATTAATAATGAAATAGAGATGAAATAGGAATTACATTAGCCAATATTACACTAAGACCCCTAAGGTGCTGCAGTGATGTGAAAGCTTTCAGGCGTTATGCCAGGAGTCCAATATGTGAAACCCATTAGCTCCAGAAGGATCACAACTGACACATCACTTTCAATCAAATGGAAATACAAGAGAGGTAAAGAGTCTTTTAATCTACTAGTATGGTATCTTTGTTGTAGTTTGCATTTTTTCTGTTTCATTGTATTCTTTTTTAACATACACTATGTAATTATTAAAATGTTTTAAATCTTTTAACCACAAAATATAGGGTATTGTGCCACGTACTGTGATGCATCTGTTCCTAAAATAAAATGAAATAAAGCAAAAATATAGATTTTTTAATGGCAATGTCTTTGAAAATGTTCAGTATTTGGAATAAGGGAGTGGGTTACCAGAACATCTTTCCTCAACAATAGCTACAGAAATTAAATATAATTTATGAAAAAGAAATTAGAGCTAGTTGATAAAAAATTATGATAAAAATATTAAATATAGTGTCTGTCACTAGCAGATATACCAATATATGTTGAAAATAAATAGATTAAATAACAATTATGGAAATTATGTTTTAAAATGTATCAGCATTGCTTCCCAAACATCCAGTGCACTACTGGCTCGACTTTAAAAGGAATATCATTTAATCAAAGTAATTTATTTCTTTACTTTAGGCGAGGTTTTCCAGCTCAGCTTTAACACTGCGGAAGAAAAACGCTTTAAAAAAAAAAAACCAGAAGCACCCTGAGAGCATAATGTCTTCAGTAACCTGTTTCCCCGGGCAACCAGCAGGGGGCGCTGTTTCCCCGCTCTCTGTCTCCGCAGTGCTGCCTGTCTACGAGGAGTGCGTTTGATTGTTGCAGGACTCAATGGCGGACAGAGCAGGGTAGTCGCGTTAGCACCGAGGACAATAACATCTCCACTGTGTGAAATCCCGGCGTGACTCCGTCCGCCGCTGCGTGCAACGGGTGAAGCGGGCTCTCTTGTGTGCACTAACATTTAAAAACGAAGTCGCTGCAGCTTTTTTTTTTCTGCTCGTCTTCCTCGCATTCTTGAGTTCACCCCCCTCCTCCTCTCCTCTCTCTCATCCCAGCCGGAGAAGTTAACGTTTACACTGTTCATGGTGGCTCACTGAAGGCAGCGTTAGCTTGCGAGCAACAAAAAAAAAAAACAACAACCATGGGGGGAGTCTCTCGAATTGATTGGGAAGCGTCTGCTTTTGCTCCTCGACGACGGCAGGTCCGCGAATGGATCCGAACCGGAGAAGGCTGCCTGGGCCCGGGACTGGCTCCGGGGGACGGTGCGGGCGGTGAGCGTCATCGGCCTGGCCGCCCCGGAGGTTGGCGGAGGAGAGGCGACAACAACATCCACCGCTGCGGGGCTGACGGTCAGTGTTTACATACAAGCTATGCCGTACCGCGTAGCTCAACCCCCGCTGGGTGGTGTATGAACCGGGCACTAGTTACCGAGTATGTGCCTCCTAACCTCCGTCGACCCGCTCCAACCGCCACTAACGGCACATTTGTTGGGCAGTTAACGTTAGCTCGTTTACCTCCTATAATAGCTAAGCTACAAGTCGCAGCCAGTCGGGCGAAGCTAAACTCGAGGCCGGGGATTTTTTCTGGCCTTTGCTTTGTTCGCTTTTTTTTTTTTTAAATATTTTTTTAACGAATGACATTCAGCTCCCCCGATGTTTATCACAACCTCGGAGCAAACAGTTGCAAAACACGGATGCGTCAGAGCTAATTAATCGGTCACGATATTGTCACAAATCGTTAGCAAGCAGCAGTGAATAACAGCGTTAGCTCTCAGTTATAGTCCAGTTAAAGGCCTCACAAGTTCATATGAGGGTGAGCCGGGGATTCCTCCTACTTTACTGCGGGGTCCAGGTTGTTAATAAATGTCCAGACTTACGCAGTTAGCAAGTTTGTAATCTAATAAAACTCTTGAATGACTGACAGCAATCTTCCCGAGCTGTCTGTAGTCCACATTGTGCAGGGCTGCTGAAGTGCACAGACATTTCTGGGTGAGATTTAAAGAAAACATTGGGGTGGTGGTTGACCTACATTTAAAGGCCTTCACAGCCGAAAGCCAGGATTTTAGAGTAGTTAAGGAGTACAAACTAGGTATTTTAAATAACATTTACACTTGATTTACAGTACTTTAAAAAGCACTGTAATTGTTTACATTTAATAAAACTGATTTGTTGGTGCCTTGTTAGATTTAATACAGAAAGAAGACCTAGTTGAAAAGTATAGAGTGAGTGAATGAATGAAAAGTGTCCACTTTGGCTGATGTATAACTATATTTTAAAAAAAGTTAAATTAATGATTTTCAAGGAAAATAATGAATGATGATCCTTTGGGTTAGGTTTTGAGTTAACTATTAAAGTTAGATTATCCTGTAAAATCCTCCTATAAAATATGAGTATGTACTTTTGTAAATCTCTCTTCTGAATGGTGTGCCTATATCAAAGTGGATATTTATTAGAGAAAAGTGATCCGTCAATACTATAAACTTACGTGTGGACTGATCTCAACCAGTAAATGTCACCTGAGCTTGACTAATAACCAGCATGGCAAAAAATACAAAGTTTGTTTATGTGCTGAAGATGTTTTGTAAGGAAGATTGTTTCAGCAACTAACTTCAGTAAGACGAGGTCAGTGCAGCTTCTTGTCAGGACGCTTTTATGTTATTTCTTAATACAGCTTGGGGATAATCGAGATACTTTAGTTTAATAATGCGCCTCTGGATTTTTCGCTTCTCGCCATCTTAAATAAATTACAAGTAAGTTTCACTACTAGTATTTTTTCTCCTCTAACAGATGTCAGTGTAAAATGTCAATACCAGAAGCCGATACACGTACAACTAAATTGAAGAATAATAAAGGCTGCACAACATAAAATACTCCACACCAAAGACGGTCGGTTTCTAAAAAGACAAACAAAACATTTTTCACAGTTTAAAGCTTTTAACAGCTCACAGGTTCACATGTAGACAATGTTTGACTGAAAGAAGATTTGCAGTTATCTCAAGTTTTATTATTCCTCCTCATGAGTGTACAGAAACTGGCAGAAATTAGAAGGTTTTGATGGAAATAAGTGAAACTAGTTTTGTTGGTAAAGTTAAAATAGGTTACGCTGTCATACACAACTGCTGACTGTTGCCACAGCAAACGTCAGGTCAGTCGGGGAACCTATCTATCAGCTGGTTGTTTCCAAAACACAATGAGTGCAAAAATGCTCCAGTCGGGTCCAAAAACTCACTGCAGATATCTGAGCACACAGTGGTAATGGGATGAGGCGCCACCATGGATAAAAAGGAACACAATAAAGACACTCTGGCTTTCCACAAAGTCTATTTATTCTCCAGGTAAAATAACACTGCTCTGTTTTATCTCTGCACCACTCATTTTTTAGCTTCACAAAGCATATTTTCGCAGTTTT